CCCCCCCCCCCCCCCCCACACACACGTTGTTAACCCAGTGTTAACCTAAACCCAGGCCTATACGATTTAATCTGCTCCCCTACTTGCCCTGGGTTAAATATCCGTTAGAACACGTGACCGATGTTTACATCCCAGAATGACTGGTGGCTACTGTTTAACAGAGTAGACAACAAAAACAATGCATATTCCATCGTTTACTTTGTCCAGTTTCCGCTGGCAACTTCAGACCCGTGCTTCGTTGATTTTCAGGGGATAAGTACTCTGGTGCTCCAGAGTAGGGCCAGCAATCCCTCTGCTAAAATCGGGGTTAGCCCACTTTGGTATGTACCAGGATTGTGCTGGGGTCTTTCTTAGCCCCAGGCTAACAGGACACTTTGCCCCAGGCTAAGGGTTAAGGTTAGCAGCAGCTCACTTAGCCTGGGGCTCAGTGCAGTGTGAAAAGCCCTACAGAGTAAAAGGACACACAGACACGCACACACACACACGTTAGAGACGTTACTTTGTATAAAGCTGCCAAAGTAAAGCAATTTAATTTACATAGTCAAATGATGGGGCCACACACATACATACTGATAACCAGGGACATGGGTGCAAATTACATAATATTCAACACACAGGGGCTGTCATTCCTGACCATGTCAGATAGGATAGAGCTGCGCTACTACACTACATTTATAAGCATCACTTGACAGCATTGGTTACTAGATACTTTGCAGATTTAGATTTTATACATAAAATATATGATCAACTTTTGAAATATGATGCATTATGATCAATCAAACTACCCAGCAGCATATAGAGTAGTTCAAGTAGTTACAACATTAAAACTATGCTTATGAATAATATAATAGCTATCAAAATATGTCACTCTACAAGAGGACATTTTGATATTTAAGAACATTTCGCTTTCCTTGTAATTCCGCATTTCTAGTTTGTGGTCTTAATACTTGTAAAGGAATAAATGATCTAAAACAAATGTGACATGGCTCATTCAGAGGTCCTCTCCTCTTCTGAGGAACATTCATCAGTGTGAGAAAAGGATTCTCACACACTGATGAACTACAGATGGCGTCTCCATGGAGTGCAGCCCTGTTGTGTGTGTGCACACAGAAGCGCATGCATGTTTGCATATAAAAACCATCTGGTCAATGTAATTCTGGTCATTTGAAGCCAAGAGCCGAAAGCAGGAAGAAATACACTATCTGAACAACAACCACGGGATTATGATGGACTCAATGTTCCAGTGGAATTCATCTTACCTGTCCACAGCCTTCAAGGAAACCTGCTCTATCTAACTTCGCAGCTTCTCTGTCTTCCCTGGTCTTCATCTTCAGTGATGGCTGAGTGGAGTTGGGTGGCCTACACAGCACTAGAAGTGCTGATTGCTTTGGCATGTTGCCTTGGCAATGTATTAGTGGTGTTTGCGGTGTGTATTGGTATCCGGGATTCCCTCCGGGAGCCCACCTTCTTCTTCATTGTGTCCCTGGCAGTGGCTGACTTCCTAGTGGGTGTGGCTGCTGTGCCCCTGGCTGTGCTGTTGGATGGCTGGGTGAGTGTGACCCCTGACCTGTGTCTACTTCTCAGCTGTGTCGTGCTCGTGCTGACCCAGGCCTCGGTTCTGTCACTGCTTGCTATCGCCGTGGACCGATACGTCCGGTTACACACACCGCTCAGGTGAGGTCAAACTCTGAAACACTGGTTTACAGGTAGATAAGCTACATGAATAAATTGCATGCTTGTTGATTTATAGAATTCTCTTTTATTCCTTCTTTCTGTTTTATCCCTCATCCTCAGATACAAAGCTCTGGCCACACAGAGGCATACATTGATGGCTTTGTCTGTGTGCTGGACACTTTCCTGTCTGCTGGGGTTCACCCCTCTGTTTGGCTGGCGCAACCAGTCCTCTCTAGCATCTGATTCCACCAATACAACCTCTTCCTCCTTCATTTCTCCCCCCTGCACCTTCCTCTCGGTTATTTCCCTCCCATTCATGGTTTACTTTAACTTCTTGGGATGTGTCATGGCACCCCTGCTGGTTATGACCCTCCTCTACGTACGAATCTTCTGGAGCCTGCAGGGCCGTCTAAAGGAGAGCTGTCCTCAAGCCCAGGCCTCTCTGCTCAGGGAGAAGAGGCTGGCCTGCTCCCTGGCTCTGGTTCTCATTTTGTTTGCCGGCTGCTGGATTCCTCTGCACCTGATGAACTGCCTGCTGTTGTTTCATGGTCCTCAAGCTGTCACACAGGGGACACTTTATACAGGTAGGTGACATTAGCTTTTCAAGTAGACGGTCTGCAATTAGTGGTGGTTTTTATTTGTTTGGAAAGTTCCCCAAGAAGCTTTAAATATCTTACAGTACTTACAGAAAACACCGTTACAGTGAAATTTCACAGTAACAAATAAATTTTTTTCCCAGGTATTCTCCTGTCTCATGCCAACTCTGCAGTCAACCCTGTGGTCTACGCTTGTCGCATCCCAAAGATCCGACAGGCCTACAGTCAAATATGGAGGCACTTTATTGTGAGGCTGAACTGTTGCCATGGGGACAAGCAAGTTTGCCAATCAATAACAATCAGCCAAGACAATGCCACAGAGACGAGTGGATCAAACAAAGGACCGCAGCGTTTGGTTTGAATGAAACTCTGCACGAAACATGAAAAGTACAAAAGCAAAACAACAAGCATGAAACTCCTCCGTGGCATTTGATCTGCCTACTGCTTGTCTGCAAACTTTTATTCAAGTCAAAGCTATCTCGTGAGCTTCCACCAGAGGGTGCTGTGGACTAACAAACTCATTAGCCACTGTTGCACACAAACCATGAAACCACCAGAGCTGCAGTAGGTGACAAACAAACAATATCAAGACCTCATTCACTGATTTTCGGACAACTGATTTGAGGCAGGTATGACTTTATTGAGATGTACATATATTGTGTCATTTGACAGCTTCAATCAATTCATCACCAACCTTTTGAAGCACATATCTACTTGCTATTTTCTTTGTGAAATCTACAAATAAACGTGGTACAATCACAAGTGTGTGTCGAGCATTCGCAATTGTTCAGCAAACTCCTCAGGGAAGGCAATGGACTGTATAGTTATCACCAGAGCAGGGTGCAATCCCACCCACCAAACTATACAACCTACTACCTCACCCTGACAGAGCCCAGATCAAAAGCACCACATGTTTTCGTCCTGTTACGAAATACAAAACTATTTAACCTGGTCTAGCAAGAAAAACAATGCTGCACGCGTACGTTTTGATCGGATGACACGATTGCACATCTGGAGATGACAGTCGCCGAGTTGCTGACTCAGCTGTCTCCTTGGGAAAGACAGTAGATTGTATAGTTATCTCGAAAAGAGGTTACACAACCCCACAACTATTCAATCTACTACCTCAGCCCCAAGGACAGCATCCACGTTGCTTCCGCATCAAAGATCCACAAAGGTATCTCTCCTGCAATGGTACAAAGAAAAAGAGACAGATAGGGTTATCTTAATTAACTATGTATCGCTGTGAAATAAATGCAAGATGATACTGGGTAGGACTGTCCTTTTTGAACTGAATATTTACATTACATTTTCGACCGATGTGTTCAAATTCAGTGCCAGCGCAAAGGAGTGTAATCGTATTATCTCTTTCTTTTTGTTCATGGAAATGGTTCAAAAACCACGACTTGTGGCTGTATACTGCATCATGACAACATGCCTTCAACAGCCGAGATTTGGAGGAACGTCTTTCACTTCTGAACAAAAGATGCTTTTAAATATTGGCACATCCTCACCGATCAATCCAGCTCCTTTTTTTTTATGCGGAGCTGAATCTCTTCGAGAAATCGGTTCCATTTAAATATATCTAAGACAAATAATTTAACGGTAAGCAGACATCGGAAAGTGAGAGCAGTAATGTGTGAAAGCCCAACAAACAACTCACTGGCTTCTCTGGCATGTGATCGAAAAGAGAAAAAAAAAAAAAAAAGAGCTGCTCGACTCTGTGCCAGGAATTTGTTTCCGTTTTTGCCAAAAACTGAGCTCATTCCAGTGGGCTATCCCTGTGTAGGCTGGCTGCTGCTTCTCAGATGGAGGTACACACACAGATGCCTGCAAATATGGCTTCCACCAGCTGCCTCTGATTGAATACAAGGCTGGGATTCTGCCCCCTAAAACACAACAAGGAAACACAAAATGGCGGCTCGCACATCGGCCATTTTAGGTCTTCTTAAAAACACTTTTGAGTCTACCTTTCGGCTGTTTTTCCGAGCCTGCTGCCTCAGGAGGAAGAAAGAGCTGCTATTCTTTCGACAGTGATGGAGAATCAATTTTGTGCCAAGCACTGAAACGAAGCCAACAGACCCAACGACACACTCACAGTCACGGGTACAAAGTAAGAGAACAACTCGAACAATACTTAGTATCAGACAGCTGGAAAGTTCACAGAGAAAAGGCATCATCACATACAGCATGTTACTGGCTCCATTAGCAGTTCAGATTCGCCACTGAACTAGCAGATTGTACTTGTGCTTTCTTAAACTTTTATTAATTTCACTAAGAAAGAGTTGGCTCATTCTCAGGCAGCTAACTGTTAAACTCTTATGGGATAAAGGTTTGGATGGGCCAGCAGGTTAACATGGCAGCGACTGAAGGGTTAATGAGCCAGACTAAACGCCAGACCTGGGCCTCAGATAGACAGAGAAGGGGTTAGGAGGTACATTGCTTGCAGAAATTAGCATACAGCCACAACCCCTGAGACTTGGTCCAGACCAGCCCATAGTTAGCATGCAGTAGAGACCCTGCTAGTCTGATTACAGAAGACCAGACAGACAGAAGGGGGGGGGTGCTGGCACGATGCCCAACTCTGCCACCGTGCCAGTGACAGATCTACGAGCTCTGTTTGGTCGCCGAGAAGTGTCCCCTGACTGGAGCTGTATTCGGAAGTCAGACTAATAGTGATATGACACAGTGTAATAACAGGACATCTGAGCATGGCCTTGAATGAAAAAAACATTGAAACATTAAATGCTTGTGGGAAATTCTGTGCTTCTGGGTTAATTGCAAAAATTGGCGTCTCATTCCCGGCACAGTTCCCGACTGTTGTGTAAACACAGAGGTCAAACCCGGTCAGTCATGTGAGCTCTATTGGGCGCTGTTGTCTGTGATCGTGGACTTTGTCTATGGCACATAAAAGGGGCACACATGGCTCAGCTGGGGAAAATCATTTTCTCTGTCAACAGCTCCAAAATAAATGAAGCCTCCAGCCAGTGGGGCAGCTGAGAGGACCTTGAAGACATTTGGCCTATTGAGTTCATCTCATCTGCCTATGAGAGTGTATGTCTGCGCATCTGTTTCAGCTGAACTACGACTAAATGATAGTAAATTCATATATGCAGTATTTTGTATAAGCCAAGAAACACAGACCTTGTCCTCGCTTGCCCTCGGATAAAGCTGCTCTGCGGTATTCAACCAGGATATGTGTTTCTTGAGACAATTTCCTGCTTTAGTATGTTAATCGTTCTTCGGGTGACAGTTACTCATGTTTCTCGTGGGTGTTCCAAAAACCACATGTCAGTCGTAGCACTGGGAATTTGATCTTTTTCTATAACAAACAAATGTATAGCAGCAGCATCTAAAGCTCATACCTGACTCTGTTGAGACCAATGTTTAAAATAAATTAATTTTCATAATACTGCCACAACTATAGAATAGGAGGGCCTTTAAAGTTAACACCTACAAAAAGCATCAGATGTTTATCTACCTCTTCCACTCTTGTTGATTAAATTAAGAACAAAATCTGAATGGCTGCTAAATTGAATTACAAGCATTTATTATACAGGTTTTACAAACTTCTAACGTCAAGCTGCTGCGCTAAAAAACACCCCTAGTGCTCCATCTTTAACAAATCAAAACCCTTGCGAAAAATATCGTGGAAGCAATAGGCCTTCGCTTTCTCCCCAACACCGTGAAAGGATGTGGGTTTTGTCGGATTCGTTCCTCGCCCAATACAAACAACGTAAACACACATATTAAACAGCGAATCCCCGAACGCACACAACACATTCAGTTGCCAACAAAACTCCTCTGAAATGGAGCAGATTTTCGCAGTATATATACCTATTGGATTGCCCGGTCCCTTGGTCTGCGAGATGGGATGAATGCTTGGCAGACACAACGGAGGGGGCACCAGACGATTGGTACAGGTTCTTGTCTCTCTCTCTCTCTCTCTCTCTCTCTCTCTCTCTCTCTCTCTCTCTCTCCCCCTGAGCTTTGTGCCAAGAATGGGCAGTGTCTGTGTGCCAGGCAGAATTTCAATGAGGGAGGAAGGAGTCTGTGATGGTGGGCAAAGAGGAGGAGGAGCGGTGGGGGAGCTGGAGTTGGCAGAGGAAGTATGCCACGCAATAAATGGCAGGACGAAGAATTCCCACAGTTGAAAAGATGCAAACGGATGTCTTGTCTTACTCAAGTCTTATTTTGGAAAACAAAATAGTGTCCAGGCATCTGGCCGATCTTCAAGAAGGCTGATCTTCAATAGAGCGCTATGGTGATTGTGTCATGCCTGCTATTGATCTTCCCCACTCCCTAAGGAATCCCTGATAACATTAAAGGATGATGGACGGGTGCACTGAGCCTCCTCCATGCTCACTTGGCACGGTGCTCGCTCTGATGTTCTGTATGTCCTCATTAAGCAAGCGCAAACACACGAGGCTCGTGCTCACGTGTATGCATGTAAACAGAAATACGCCGCCACATGCATGTACTCACACACAACCAGTCAGTGGCAGACAGTTGTGTGACCTGTGTACATGAATGAAGCTCATCCTGTCTGATCCTGATATAGTCATTGTTAATTAAAGGAAAATGTTTCCAGTCCTTTGCCATCAACTCCACTGTTTTGCAAGACAGAGGGCCGCACACACAAATGTTAGGATTACAGAGATAAGAGTTAGGTAAACATGTCAGGCATGTGTTTGATGAAAAGATAGTATGACCCAGATAAGGCAGAATTATAAGGGGGCCATTGTGTTGACTATCACAGTGTCAACATCAGGATTCTCTATACTTCTTATTAGTTTGTCAGAACATTAGAAATGCATTTTAACATATATATATATATATATATATATATATATATATATATATATATGAGTGTTGTTAGCTGATAAAAGAAAAGAAGACAAAACCCGAGTGTATTAGTCAAAGTATACCCTATAATTATTCCAGATTCCAAAATTCCAGATTCCAAAAACTGTGAATGAAGAAAATGTAGATCAAAGGTTTTGTTTCCTCTTCATTTTTTTTTTTTTCCACTTGTCTATGCTTTTGCTAATGTTCTGATAAGATATGCGGTTACCATGGTGCTACACGCCTACATGTTATAGCATTCGCTAATGCAACACAGAGCAGGCCATCGACACTCGCGCACATACACATACACAGGGTGTGCGTGCATATTTGTACGCATGTATACAAAGACTATGCGTGCAAGAGTGCAAAGTGGTGTAGGTCAGGATGAAACAGCTGCTGCTTCCTGCATGAGAAGAGAAACTTCCTGTTGCCTCGCTGCAAACTGCGGCTGGTCAGCCAAGATATCAACCAATCAGCTATGTTTAGGCTGAATGCAGGAAGTTACCCTGACTGCCTCTAGGAGAAAAAACTCAGAAACTTTATGAGGCAACACGATAAGTTCATCTGAGGATACGAGAGGGGCGGGGAAAGAGCTCTCCTACTCCTACCTCTCTTTCTGTCTCTGTCGCCCTTGTTCTCTCTCTTTTTCTACAGCTTCTTCTTTCTTATTAACATTTTCCTTTTGTCCCAGTCACATGTCGATGTTCATGAGGAGAGGTTCTTTTGGAGGTTCTTTTTTGGTAAACTCATTTGCTGCTTAATGCCAACGCTGATTGATTTTAAATGACAGAGGGTGATGCAGGGGAATTAGGAGTAATGTACCCACGAGATGTGATGACGGTGAGGGGTATGTTGAAAGGGTCTACCCATATTCACTGTTTCACAAACACGTGGCACGAAGGCGCCATCTTAACACCAACCCTTATTTAGATCAAGATACAGCACTAACAATAAGCAGTCAAGTTAAGAGTCCTGATAGTACATGCAATATGCAGGTATATGAGATCGTTCAATCTGTATTAAATTTCCCGTCTGAAAGTCGGTTGAAAGATCAAATCGGTCGTCGATGAATTCACACACCCTGTTTTATCTACTTCGGCGAATGCAACAATAATATATGCTTTTGTTTAATGGCATTCTGGCCCCTGTAATCAAAATATGCAATATGAGGATAAACATCAATCGGACAAATGCTGCTGTTCTCTTTTTGTTCTTTTTCAACAGGCAGGTGACGCTGGTGAAAATAGATCAACAGCTTTACTGATACAATGAGGAAGAACTACTGACGAACACCAACATTTCTCTACAGCGTCGTCTGTTTGTTTGACCTAACTCGGTTTCATTTCTGCCTCAGGTTCCTCTGAAGTGCAAAGTATCATAAACAGTAGCCGATGACGCAGGGTGTCAAGGCAAACGTTACAGTTGCCACCTTTGAACAAACTGTCGCACCTCTAGATCGCAGAAAGATAAACCTTGCGCATAAACGGGCATGTTCCTGTGAATCAACGACCGCATATCTGAGTTCTAACGGTGGCAGAAAGTGCAAACATGCATGTGGAGGCAAACCGTGTCAATATTGCCCTTACACTAGCTATCATAACTGCTCTGGGTGATAAGAGACCTGCCAAGTGTCTCTCTTGTCCTGTGGGTGCAGCTCAACTTGCACTGACCTGAACACAACAACAGCTCTGTGGCTCGATCGACCCTTTGAGGTCAGAAAGTAACCCGCGGAGGCCTGTCCTTCCTCCTGCCAGTCTACAAAGAGACACCTGTTTGGTACGAAAAGCCACAGAAAGACTGTTTGCCACCCTGTCAGAGCCTGCTGTCCTAGAGCAGAGAGCAGAGAGGGGAGAGGAAGAGGACAGGGACAGAGAGAAAAAAAGAGATAATGGAAGCAGGAGAAAGAAGATGGTCAGCAGGGAGCCGAGGAGTCCCCCTGAGCTCCAGAAAAGTTTCTCCTGCTATATCCATGGAGCCAAAATGGCGGCGAGCTGATTGCAGCGTGGCAACTGACGACGATAGACACATTTACAGGAGGAAGACCACGATGAAGGACAGAGATGAGGGTGAGAGGAACCGAAGGAGAAAGATTATAGGGCTGTGGAAAAGATGGGAAGCGGTGTCGCAGGATAAAAAAGAAAAATACCTGGAGCCTGTACGTGAGCGGCGGGCTGGGCCAGAGGACTGGAGGAGAAGAGGGCCGTGATGGCGGGAAGAAGGGAAAAGAGAGGAGTAGAGCACACCCTCTGAGAGCTACACCCCCTTCCCACAATCCCCTCCTACTGGCGTGAGTGCGTCTGTCCGCACACAGGGTGACAGAGGGACGTCTGCTCTCACACAGCCCTATAACACATACACAGAAAACACACACAAGCCACAGTATCAACCACACTGAGCACAACGAAAAGAGAAAACAGGCTTCCAATAGACTCACGGTACTTGTAGTTGCGTATGACCAAAAACGGAGACAAACACACACAAGTACACAGCAGGAGGACACTTTAAAACTCAAACATACACATAATCAATTCGCCAGCCTTTGGATCGCCCTCTGCTCTGCCCTGTGCTGTGTTTGCCTCGGTCTGCCTGCCCACTTTGGCACTGCTGCCAAGGGAAGGGGAGAAAAAGGAGGGTAGAAGGGTGGGGAGGGGGGGGTAGAGACAGAAAGAGGAAGGGAGGGACATGCTGTAGCGAGAGAGAGAGGAGGAACAGAAAGAGGAGGAGTCAGAGGAAAAGAGTTAAGACAGAGAGTGAGACAAAAAACAGACAATAAAAAGAAAGAGAAGAAACTGTCGTGACACGGTTACACAAAACAGCAGGACGGCAGCCGGGAGCCCTCTGACAATTTGTATGTTAATCATGTAACAGCCGAAACACACCTCTCACCCTGTGCTGTACTTGTTGTATTGGGCAGCGACAGACAGATGGCGAGAGAGACAAGCCCCTCTGCCATGTTGTTCCATCTCACCGTATATTTACAATCAATAGATCCAAAAACAGCCCACACTGGTTGAGATTCGACCTCTGAACTGACGGACATTTGTTGTCAAGTTCCCTCGCCTCGTCTTTTTTCCGAAATCTTTATTCTGCTTGCATTTCTCTAAATCTACCATCCCCCACCCCTCCTCCATCCTTCTGCAAATTCGTCCTCTCCCTCCATCGGGGATAATATCTGCCCTCCTCGGTGGGAGGGGTTTTAGGGAGTTAAGCTAAATGGATCAATGGGAGAGGATGGTGGATATTTCAGAGAATGTCACTTTTTCCCCCCCAGCCGTTGGCATCTTTCCCACGTCTCCCTTTGCTTTCACACACCAGCCAGTCAGTTGAACACCAATGGATCTTGGATCAGCGAGCCGTCGCCTCTAGATGACCCCAATCATTAGGAGAGAAAACATAAATCCATCTGCTCATAAATGGCCGTCCCTATCTATAGCCTTGTTGCGACCCAATCCCTGGTGTTTGAGCGGGTATCCCAAGCCGAGCCAACCAATCAGAACTTGCTTCTGAGCTGACGTCATTTTGTAAATGCAGAGTGCAAATTCAAAAGAAATAAAACGGGAATGCTTTTTAAATTGGAAACAAACACTCTCTTCCTTTAAAACTTACATCAACCACTTGAAGACACAAAAAACAAAGCGTTCGTACATTAAACAGTTGATTTCTCGTCACAGCTGCTGTAATACCTGAGTTATTTAGTCCTCAAACTCACACACACACACACACACACACTCACACATTTTTGGAGGGTTCTTCCAGTCCTCAAACACCACGGAGACAAAACAGACCACAATAGTCCAGCTTCTCTGCTTAAACTCCACATGAGTCTTTTCTCGAAGATAGCACAATTAACACAGACACACACACACACACACACACACACACACATTCATACTGTACACAGGCGCACACACACATATGGTGCGAACAATCCGGTTCCTCAGATTCAGCCAGCAGGTTGGACAGCCCCTCAACCTGACGTCACGTCTCCTTTGTTGCTTATGCATTTATTTCTCTCCTCAGCTGAACTCTCTGAACCCAATGCCCCCCCCACTCCCTCCCTCCCGTCCTGTCCTCCAGCCCTACACTTACCCCCTGCCAATGAAGGCGGGCAAATACAGTATGGCTTTAACAAGGAACAAAAAAAGGGAGAGACAGACAGACACAGAGAGGGGAGAAACAGAGAGAAGGAGAGAAAGGGGCTCAGATGTCTCTCACTTTTTCTTTTGCTCCTTTTCTTCTTCGATCGCTCGCCGTGTCTCTTCCTGCTTGGCTTGTAAAAGTTTCAGCTGCATGGCGGGCCGGCCTCTTTTGGCAATCGTCCAACTCTTGACTCGCCTGTCCCCTTGTAAGAGGGAGAAGGAGGGGAGGACAAATATAGTCACAGCTAGACTGTACTGCAGCAGCAGATGTACTCTGACTGCACAGCGACCATTTCTATTTCATACAGGAAGAGAGAGGTTTGTGACATGTTTTCAGTGTTTATAACAAGCAACAGTGAAGCATTACCACGGCCTGAGACTTTGAGCAGAGTGTTTGAACGGCTGTGGCACAGTTGTGAGGTTAGTCTGCCTTTAACTGAACGTGACAGCTGAGTCTGATAACAGTGTGTTGTGGTGCTCACACCCAGTTCACACAGGGACACACTCACTTTGTTATCTCTCCTGGTATCAATAACACAAGCAGCTCAGCACAGACAGATTTACACATGGGAGGATTTGAAACTAAATATTTACATTATTTAAAAAGATAAAGCGAACTGGGTTCTCTGTTTCATTGCATAAGTACACGGATACACTCGTGAACTTTGTTACTGATTTATTTACCTCAACCTCGTGCACAGGGGTTTTAATATTGAGTCAAGGTAGTTTATCAGAAAAAGTAGCTTAATCATTTAATGAATTACTCTAAACTATAGTTTTTATTTGCTTATAATGCTCTGTAATTACAGGACTGATTAAAGCATTACAATTTGAGAAAATAAATAATAAATTAAATTATTATTTCACTGTTTCTCACTCTTCCATGAGGCTAACCTTAAAATAATGGGCAACCTTTATCCACAGCTCTTCCAAAATGTACACCTTTTGTTCCTATTATGTTTCCTAGAGATTATTATTTGGCTATAACTATTTGGCTATAGGCAGTCAGCTAATATGGCCACATATTAATTTATGAGCTAAAATATTGTAAAGGCATGCATATAAACACATTTTTGGCAGTACAATAATGATGGAAGTTATTATATATTTATTCATTTAAATTAAAAATATATCCATAGAAATATACGTGTATCAAGTTATTGATGAACTGAATAAACACAGAATAATAATCTGAAGTAATTATTCTGGGGAAACTCAAGAGTTGCACAAACGCAGTTGTCCTGCCTGCAATGACGGGTTGTCTAGTTATTGTTTGAAGCATTTAATAAAGAAGTTATTTTAATTAAAAAATGAGCTCTTATTTCTATAGTGGATCAAGTAACGTTAATGCGATCATAAAGTGTGACGTCAGGTGTTTAGAGGCCCAATAACATGTATTTAGTGTGGCTTAGGGTAACCGAATTATTATATTTCGAAATAAATACACAAATGATCCAAAGGCTGGCGAATAAATGCCCCTTAAGGAAAAATTGTGATATTGGGCTGCATAAATAAAATTGGCTTGATTAAATAGATCGGCAACAGCTCATTCATTGAATGATTGTAGAGTCCTGACCAACAGGAGTATCTCTAAATGATGTGGACGCATTCCTAGCAGCCCGGCTAACGTCACAAGCTAAAAGCTACTCGCTTGTCCGATTTGAAGAAGTGTTTACCAACCGGGGAAAAACAGGTCAAGGCTCTGGAAAATGCATAACTTAAAAACAACAACCCAAGCTAAATAAACTTTAGAAAATTCATAAATTAGAGCTAAACTGCTGCTTACCTGGCTGAAGAGGCTTTGTGAGCTACAAAACAATGCTGCATATAGCAAACCATATGCACAATCTAGCGAGGAGGAATATCTATATAATATATATTTTCAGAATTTATTTATCGTTATATACTATTTTACTATATCAGTGATAACGGAATCCATAGAGGCCATAGACTATGACTCTTTTACGTTTTAGATCACAAGTGTATCCAGCATCTGTTTAACAGGTGGCTCGATGCAGTTTTTGCTGAGCTCTGATTGGCTCATTGGTAGAAACGATAGCCAATAGTAATCACAGTGGGACATCTCTGGTGGCACTAGAGTGGCAGCCAACTTGAAGATTGATAATTGTAGCATTTCAAGTTTAGCAGGTATTAAACTGAGCACAATAAATGTGTCTTCTTTGATAGGCGCTATGATTTCTTTCTCTCTTTTTTGGGGGGGGCTTGGTACATAAATGCAACACTTTGTTCACGAACAGATGTCAGTAATAGTCAAATTAAAACCTAAACAGTTTATCTGTGTAACAGAACATCTGCCCTTAAAAAAAGACAGGATCGATTATTCCACTGTCACTGACTCTTGTTATAAACTAACATTTGGAGCAGGTTTCACTCTAGTTAGATGAGGCGCCCCATCTAGTGGAATACTTGTGTAAATGCATTTTGTGAGCCATAAAGGCAATCCTTGAGGAATAATCCCACTTTTTTTGCAGATGCTATTTTTGGTTTATTATTATTTCTCCTAATTCCCTCTCGTGTGTGAATTTATCCACTGTGAGATCGGTCGGTATGTCTCCACTGTGTATTTATGTGTGATTTATGGAATTAGTTCACATACTGTAACAAGGATATTTATTTTATTTTAAACATGAGCCATTACAGAAAAGTCAAGAGAAGAACACAGTCACCCATACGGAAGGTAAATACGACATAGAAGACAAGTCAAGCAAGTATTAGGGTGGAAAAGAAAAAAAACGTACGTTTTAGTCAATTATTAGGAGGAACTGCTAAGATTAGACATTATGTCATATTATTGCATTAGTGTGTGTGTGTGTGTGTGTGTGTGTGTGTGTGTGTGTGTGTGTGTGTTCAGGGCGTCCAGGGCTTTGGACCCATCATGATTCAATTGTATTAGATTATTGTTGCTAAATGATCAAAGTGGCAAGTATAACTACAATGTCGGGCAAAGGTGACGACAACAACCCGGGAAAGAGAAAGAATAATTGAAGGGATGGAGCGCTGGAATGACCATTGAATGTCTTCATCTTTGTTTCCATAATGAAGAGCAGCCTAACCACTCGACTCTGTGAAGTGAATAATCCTGAAGAGTCTGCTCTGCAGCCAGTCCCTGAGTGAATGAGACAGAGGTGGAAAGTATTGAAGGATAAAGGAGAGAGACAGAGAGAGGCTTACTTCAATAATACTTTCGATATTTAAACAGAGTCGGCCTCTTTAAAATGCATGCCAATGCCAAGATGCATTGTGGCTTTTATTTCTGACAGATTTTGAATTTTGAAATCCCTTTTTTTCCTCCTTTTCTTTTTTTCTCTCTCTCTAGAGACTTGGAAAGAAAGAAAATAACTACCTGATCTCCACTGATGCCTGAGACCTCACTGGGGAAGGAAGAAAACGTTGTCAAGGCCTGCGTAGACATGTTTGTACATGAAATCCACCTGATGTTAGGCAATCTGTCATCTACTGTCTCTTTACTTCAGTCTGAGGCCCTGAGGCCCATCCGTCATCATTATCAGAATACTTACCTTGTTCACTTTTGTTTGTTCCAAATAAATGTTTTTATATTTTTAAAGTTTTGGCTTTGTCATTCATCTTGACCCAACTAAACGATGAAATGGCTCTTTATTTTCTGGCATAAATTCACAACGATGAACCCAAATAAAACATTTACCAAAAAGAAAGCTTCCTTATTGGTTGTTAATGGCATTTACCTTTTCATCAATCAGTATCTATGGCCTGCTCGTGCCCTGATATAGTAATATACTCATTACTATGGTAATACTGCCCTCCATTGGCCATATTCAGGGATAACATCATTCAAATGGCACATCAAGTGGGTGACAAATGCATTTTCATGTAGGTGCAGATAACGAAAGCAAGCCTTAAATATATTGGGATGATAATGTTGGGAGTTCAGCTTTAAACCTCAATGACCGACTCCAACTGTTGGAAATAGGTGTAACTCCTGCTAGGTTCCTGCTCAGATATCAGCATTTAATCTGTACCATTAACCAGGAGCTTACTGTCAGCAGTTGAGAATAATAGTGTTTAAATCTCTTTGTCAGTCTCGTGACATTTCATCCGGAGCCCATTACATCTCCTTTTACAATAGATTCACTGTTACATGGCTGCATAAGCAGGGCCTCTTCCTCTAATTACTCTTACCTTGCCAGTATAGGAGAATAATACTGTAGGTGATGTAAATCATTAACCAGGGCTTACCCAAGCATATCTAGATCCCTCAGCAGCTTTGTCAGCCCCCCACAGTCACTATGAAGTGTATAGTTTCACAATATGTAATGTGACATCAGAGGGTATTTACAATAGTCTTCTTGTGTCAAGAATGTACATAGATAATTGGTACAGAATATATTTGAATAAATACCTGAATAATAGACACACAAGAAAAAGAGTTTGTTGAAGATCAGTGAGCCTCATGTCACCAAGTGATATGTCCCATGATGGTTTCCCTCTCCAAATAAAGTTTTAATATATACCATTATTTGTATATTAAATAACATACAATTCAAAAAAAATATTAATAAATGTACAGCTGTGTAGGGTCCATGGACTGATATTGGTCCTATGAAGAAAGGAAGCATGCATGTTTTAATTAGTGTGGGAATAAATCTGTGTTGACTGTAATATAAATCGCTTTTTGGGGATATGTGATTTTACTGGGAATTATTTTCATAGGCAAGATGTGCTGCATGGTAATTTGATTAAACCCAATAATCTAGGAAAGTGACCTCGAGATTAGGTAATAAAGCAAAATTGTATTAGCACAAACCTGTTGACACGGCCCAAATAGTGAAGCAGCATTGTTGTTGTTTATTAAACTTGTAGTAGAATACTTCTCCACTACCAGTGCAAATATGTAGTCAAAGCAATATCAGGGTTGAAATCATCACAGTGACCTACACTCAACACTACCATCCTTCCCTATCCCCTTTTTCCTCATCCACCAGGAGTCCGGTGTCATGGGAGGAGTTTGCGTTGGGACACCCAAAACTTTTGCGTGTGCGCGTGTTTCGACGCCACGCCTCTGTGCGTTTTCCTCCGCGCGTTGATTCCATACCAAACTCATACTTGGCATTCCGCCTTTTTTTTTTTCTGTCAAACACGGTTATTTGTACCGAGGAAATACTCGCGATACACACAGCAAAACTGCTTAAGAAACAACTCCGCACGGGGAAGAGCGTGTGCCTGTAACAACAAGGGCAGGAAAGCCATAGTGAGGTGAGTGCGCTCTCAGATAGTTCTTTGTTGTGTGCTCAAACTTTCCTGCTGCGGCAGCTGCTTCGCTTCGTGTGTGCTTGGAAGTTTTGGGATATTTGACATATTTCGCATTTTCCCCGCTGCCGCTTTGCTGAATCAGAGGCTCCTGTGTTTTAGCAGCGAGTTCTTATTTAATTCACCCAGCCTCTCGTCGTTGTGTTCGCGGTGACTTTTCAGGCGTCTCTTGGACTTAGTTTGGAGTTTGTTGAGGTATTATTAGCTCGCAAGCTAACCAACTAGCACGCCAGGCTATCAGTGGCTTGTCTGTAAAATACCCACTGAAGTGTAGAAAACAACACCGCCTCTTGTACTTTAAAGTGGTTTACGGTGTTTTAACAACAGCTAGGCCTAGTTTTTTTCCACTCTTTTGGATCAAAGGCAAGATTTTGCCAACTCACAGTTGGCTACACGGCTTCCAGCCGTTGAGTGTGATTTGGTTTTTTTCCCCCCCTCATAGCTAGCCTTAACGTTACATGCTAGCGGAAAGAATTCCTTTCGTGTTATTATAAAACTGTCACCAACGTGTGAGACTGGTCTTACAGGTTCAGCAGGAGACAGAGGAGAGAAAAAAAAAACACCTTTGTTCGTCTCCAGCACACACGCATCCTGACTGAGTTATCCAATTGCTGTAAGATTTGATCTTTAGACTCGTACGAAGTGCTTAAAGTCTGATTGATTTGCTGTCTTGAACCTACAGGAGCCTGTAGTAGTAGTAGTAGTAGTAGTAGTAGTCAGCTGAGGTGGCCATGTTAATCTGAAAGTACTGTGATGAGATCTAGCTCGGTTAATCATAAAGTCACTGTTCCTATTGGAGCTGAAGACAGGCCGTAGTGTGCATGTCTTGTCAGTGTTAGCTGAGCTCATAGCTTTATTTAGCTCAATGCTCTGGCTTCTCTGCACCAAACATCTGACCTTTTGGCCACTGGGAGAGCTATATTGAAACTGACAGGGCCACATATGCCTTCAGTGCATAATGTCCTAACTTTGCATCACCACGACTCTGTTGCTGTGATGCCTCAGTTGCAATGTTGGACCAAAGTAACGATTCCATACAGTCGGTCCTGATACATGCACTCCCTGGCCATGTTATTACTACACTTATACATGTTTTGACTTTGTTTCCTCAATCATTTATATATCTGTGTACACGTTTGCTCTGACTTTATTAAACCCTACATGCAGAAAAGTATTGAAGTGGCTTTTTCATTGCCACAAACAGAGCTTACATTGTCATTACCATAAATCATTGTTAATACAGCAAATACGGGTGTATTTAATGTTGCATAACCCAATTCATATTACTTTTTTGTGCAGATATGCCACTCGGAGACAAAGAAATGTACCGTATGTTATCCCATTTAGCGGTGACCCCCTATGAATACCTATGACCAATCACCACAGGTTATGGCCTTATGCTGCATTCTAGTCAATGTTGGAGCTCGACGTTTCCCATTTCTATTTTCACCTGTAAGCTTTCCAGGTGCACGACCCAAACCAAATCATGTCTGACTGTGACAAGCTGAGGATTGTTTGGCTCGCGTACATACAGTTAAACTCCAAGCAGTGCAGCCACCTTGCATATTAACAAAACAAGAAAAAAACAATATGAGGTAACAGACGACATCACCAGAAATTTGACACCGTGGCCAGACTTTGGAATTCAATCTTCCAGGTCTGTCACATAATGCAATTCAGCACAAAGGACATTTTTCCATAGACTTGCATTGAGAAATCAGAAGAGAATTAAATAACAGCTAGTGCACTTGCTCTATGGGCTAGAATTTGGGTATTTTTTTTATCACAATCTTACACTCTGAAGTCAAACATTTTCTGCTTTGCTTTTAAGTGGCGTTCCATTGTACTTTTTCTAGTAAGCGGTCGGCAATTTTCGAGTTCAGAGTTGTCTGGAACGCAGGATAAGCTTTGAGTAGTTACGTGGGATGTTTCTCTCTCTCTCTCTATCTTTCATTTGAAAGCCTTTGTAGGTGAAAATACAAAGGATTTCACAAGAACAAATAGCAAAGATATGTTCGAAGTCTGAAAACATAAAAAATCATTTAATCATCTTGTGACCTCTCAGACGAATCACCCACAGGTAGGGAACTTCTGTTGCATTGTGAATTGTACCCTAAACCTCTTCAAACTTTCATGTCCCCATGAATACCACAATGTTGTTTCAGTCCCGTCTGCGGTGATTCAAACTGTGAATGCCCTGTGCAGAGAGTCCAATAAGCCCACCACAGCAGGGGAAGCTCCTGCAACCACATTGATCCTCTGTGGTTCCTCTGTGGCAGGGGCCATGTTAGACACACTCTGGAAAACATTACACCAAGCGGCTTTCGTGTTGCATATGTGTGCATGTGTTTGAGGAGACTTGGAGCATCTTCAACAATAACAGAAGAATGTGTAATTTCCTCATGTGGCCTTAGGTTGCAGGGACGTTCATATGGCTCAATAACTGCCTTTTTAAAGTAGTGTTGTCTTTTGTAGCGAAAGGAAAATGTCATCACTAACTGGTATAACCGCAATAGCTCGACCGACTGGTGGTGTCTTCATTGACCGTGGCCAGCGTCTTTGTAAATTTACACGCTCTTAATGTTTTGCCATTTTGCTTGTCAGGTCTTTAACCCCCGGATGCCAGGGCTATTAATACACCCTGTGTATATGGAGGCGGTAAACAACTTCAGATGACTCTGATCTCTCACTGTTGGTGAAGTGTGGAGATATTTGGATTCCAGAAAATCTGTCGCGGTTCTTGGCGACCGCATGGTTAATCCCGGTTCCGTCTGTCTGTCGCAATGTGTTCGGTTGAATAAAGTCAATTTCTTGACCCGCCTGTCGATGAGACTCATTTAAAACTCACAGGGTTTAATTAATCTTAGCGAGCATGTACAACTGAAGAACTATGGATGCACAGATCTGAGTTTTTTAGTCTCGGTACTGATATCTGTACCTGGGCTTTGGGTATCGGCCGATACCAAGTGCTGTATTAAGTAATAATCTGTATGCTTCACTGTGTGGAAGGGACATGGCTCATTCTTTTATGTGTGGAAGGCAACCTCAGGCTTGACTTAAACATTACTTTCTTAACTTTGTAAAACAAAATATAATAAATACATACAAAGATATACATTTATTATTATTTACCAGTAACTTGTTAAAGAAATCCTGAAAATGTACAGGACTTACAATTCAACTGTCAACCTTTTTATTGCAGCAACTAATTGATCAAAACTTATACAAACATAGAATTGAAATTAATAGATTCTCACCGATACCCGATCCAGCTGTTTGAGTCGGTATGTGTCTGGTATCGGTCACTTACATTCTCTTGTTTATGAGAAGTTACAAAACAAAATGTAACCACAACAATGTGTTTTGTTCATTATTTCTTGTTCACAGACTTTAGGGGTTGTGTGTGGCTGTAATAGATGATTTCAAGCTGAACTCTGTTTTGAAAACGTCCAGATGACGGCTGCATTCATTTCTTCAGACCTTGCTGATTGCGATGCCTTTTTTTCGAAATTCATCAGCTATAAAAACAAATACTGCTCTCACATTGTGGTACATATATTTTGGTGTGATGCTTTTTTAATGTGGAAGAAAACCTGGACTCATGGCAAGCACAGAGAGTGTTCACCAAACTAGTTTTACATTTAACAAATTAATCAGCAAGACGGGTTTATAAAATAACATACCGACGGTCTTTGAAGATCAAACGTGAACACTTTGTGCGAATAAATCACACGTCAACTTAAAAATTTGAACCTAGCTAGCTTAATTAGGCAACTAGTTACAGCTAAAGTCTGCCAGCCACAGTCCTTTCAGCTGTCAAAATCTACATTCGCAGAATATATATGAAGGCTGCTTTTGTGTGAAATCCAAGAGCCATCATTTTAAAAACTACTCTTCATTTTTCAGTAATAAATCTGCCGCTATTGTCATTGTAAACTGCATGCCATGTGACAACAGAAAGGTTGACAGAGGATGTGGAACCTTTTAAAAACCCTCTTGTCCTGTGTGCTCTAGGTGTGTTGTGGTCAGGAGCCGGCATCATTGCGTCGGAGTGGAGTTGCCGTGGCAGCCCTGACGGGGCGCAGGAGGACGGCGGCGATGCAGAAGGAGGAGCGGCAGACGGGGCGGACCGCGGGTTGGACGGCGACCCCGAGGGAGTGTGGAGTCCAGACATCGAGCAGAGCTTTCACGAAGCTCTGGCCATCTACCCTCCCTGCGGCAGGAGGAAGATCATACTCTCTGATGAGGGGAAGATGTATGGTGAGGAACAGGAAACTAAACCTAACGCAATGATGATGATCATCCAGCCAGCCATCATATCCATGTTGATGGTGATGACTTTAAAATGACAATATGGGGGTCCCATACAGATCACGGATCAACTACAGTCCGTTACACCACAACCATAAAGTATAACGGCCAAAATGAATGAACTGCACACACTCTGTAACAGCCTTAAGTTTTACAGAATTACATGAAACTTAAACTTTGTCCCTCAAAAGCCGTTGTTCCACTGTGAACAGTTGTAAACCCAGAGGCTGATGGATCATTCTTGTCCTCTTAGGCTTTGCTCGGGTGATCTGCCTGCAGGTATTTTGAGAGATGGCTGTTTAACTTGAGGTCAAAGGGCATCCGGCACTGACTGGATCAAAGGTTAGAGCAGGTTGAGATTTCAGGTCAGGTTCGGGTAAGAATATGAAGACGGTGCTTGGTCTCTCATTCCTCTGGTCACTAATTGCTTTAGGATTCAGTTGTATTGGTCTATTAGTATCTGTTCAGGATGCTGCCTGCGACTACAGCTTTCATGTCTTTGACAGTTTCTTCCTACCTTTTATATTAGAACATTCTTAGCTTTTTTGACTTAGTGTTGGCATGCGGCCTGCAGCAGCCTGTGTCATGCATTTGTGCGAGTGTGAAAGGGAAGGTTTGTTTCAACGTGGCGGCAGCATTTCCTCCTTTTGTGGAAGTGTGGGCTCGCTGTGTTGACTGCCCCCCACTTCCATCTAAGTAAACAAGGACAGTCCCACTGGTGCACGCATTCACACGTCACACAGCTACATTGAGATTGAACATAATCCCCGCGCTCTCATTAACCCTCTGATCACTGCCTATTAATAACAACTGTGACCATTTTGATTCCCCCATTTAGTTTTAAATATTTGTGAAATTTTACAACAAAATATCAGTTTATTTACAGGTAATACCTCCTGCTAAACTAGGCCAGTCGTATTTGAGCCCCAGTCTCCGTGCTCTCAGTGATCTGTAGCTACCATGATGTCACCCTGGATTCTGGTGTCAAGCATGTATTCCCAAGTTAGGATGATCAGCGCACAGATCACTGTCTCAGTGGATTGCACTCACCGGGTGACGCAGATAAAACAGAGGGTGCTTGTTTGAATGATGATATTATAGCATCATGTCGGTGTTGTTGTTGGTGATGTGTCCAATAGCACAATATATTTTAGAGCTGGTATTTATTAAACTAAGAATTTATTTTTAAGAGACAATTTGGTATTAAAGAGTTTCTACCCAGAGTATGACGAATGAGACACATTTATCCAGCAACGTGTTGCTGCTTGCAGCAAAGAGAGTAATATCTGCCATACTGTTCAAATACTCACATTTTACTGTATTTATATTTGTATGTTAAATCCTTAATATCTTCAGTAGCAATTAATGGGTGAAATCAACAACAATCTCATTTATTTAGAATATATAGATATACAAAATGGAGATTAAATAACTGGAAATTTGTTGTAATGGAAACAATCTAAAAGCCATTCTGAATTATTCATATTGCCGTAGCTAATTAATTATTCATCATGACCAATGATGTGTACAACATGTCTATCTCAAATTTAAGAGTTAAAAAAAACCTTTGATGAATATCTTTCATTCTTAAGTTTCTGATGTGAGTAAAAGTGTTTACTTCTAGTAGTTTGATAAATACAGGCCGTGGTGAACGGAGCCGGAACCCATTTATAGATGGATCAACTCACGTTGGGTCAAAGACAGTCTCGTTGTGTCATTCTCTCCTATTTTTAATAAGAAATAATGACCAAAATAAAGTTAGACCCACGTTTGTTTATTTTTGGTTAATTTTCTCTCTTTATCTCCCTTTTTTAATGAAAATCTCATTTTATCTATAAAAAGCATTAAAAAATGCATTTATTTAGGGATATACCGATATCGGGCCGGCACTGATTTAAATAGCTGGATCGGTTATTGTGACAATGGGGCTGATCTATTCAATTCATTTCTACGTTTATATATATTTTAATTTCCTTTAAGTTTTGACCAATTTGTTGCTGCATTAAAAGGGTTTTAGGTTTGAATCGTAATTCCTGTACATTTTTGAAGACCAAGTTGCTGGTGTGTGGTTTATTTCTATAATAAATAACAATTCAGTAGATTTAATGTATATTTATTACATGTTGTTTTAAGTTAAGAAAGCAATGTTTAAGTCAAAACTGGTATTACACATCAAAGAATGGTCTCAGTCAGTGATCCTTTTAATGAACACTGAGCCCAGGTATCTGTATCGGGATGAGAAGGTTTGAACGGAGAGATAAATCCATGTTGAAGACTTTTTGTTTCCTCACTGATCTCCCAATGTGATCTCTGTTTTCGTGTCAAGGTGTAAACGCACACAAAACAAATGGAATGTGTGACTTCTGATGAAAACTGGTTTGGCCTTATGTGGAGCATTGTTGGGCTGCAGGAAAGCGCATGTGTCCTGTTTAGGGAATTGCAACAGACTGCCTGGTCTGAGTCAGGCCCATCTGTTGATTCTGGTTACTCCAGAGCTGATGTGACTCAGCCCGATGTGACCTAAGTCCCGACAGCATCGCACCACTTCCCAGAAAGAAGGATGGCGATGTCGAGGCTGTTGGTGCGATGAAAAGAACAAGGCTGTGGAAGCGGTGTGTGAGGCTTTGTTTGGCTTCCTTTAGCCTCTCTAACTCTCACATCTGCAGCAGGGAGAATAGCGAGTTGCTCACCAGTTACATTTAGAGACGAGCAGATCGTCTGGTGTGGGTTGGAGCCGGGGGAGGCAGATAAAGAAAAGGGCTGATCGTGCACTCTGTGTTCACCACATTTTTGAAGCCCGTTAACTACACAAGTAGCCTCACCATCTCTCACTGAAAGTGCATTTGCATTAAACTTTTATGTTATTTCTTCATTTCAAATGGGATCTTCATCTATGTTTGCTTCATACAAAGATTGATGTCGTCATTGCCTCTTAGGGTCATTTTTGTTTCAGGGAACAGATGAGATTGGTTGCACCAGCGGTTAGCGTGGTGTAGTTACAAACACGGAGGCCTATTTTGTGAACATACCACAGACAAAAGCTACATGGCACGGTGTAGGAGCAAAATGATGCTGCTGAGTTAGCCTGTTAGACATTTTTAGACCTTCATAAATAGTTATAGGGCCCTATATGCCCGAGACAACAAATGTAACGGAGAGATAATTGGTTGTCTGGTCACATTTGAGTGGCAGCCATGTTTTTTTGTTTTTTTTCTCTTTATTTTGCCGTGTCGGCTTAAGTTAAATACACTTTTTTAAAACGGATTACCTTTCCTTGCAGGTTCTACCAGCCCCATCCGTGTCTTACTTTCTGATATCAAACACATTATTGTATTGTGTGTAACCAAGATGCTTGTGTTTGAAGTGCTCCACTCTGATTGTATTCTATTACTTTCTCAATTTTAGGTCGAAACGAGCTGATAGCTCGCTATATTAAGCTACGAACAGGGAAGACGCGCACACGCAAGCAGGTATGCACAGCTGCTGTTTAGGACCACACGTGTGGGTTTTCATTTAGGATTTGCTACGTGCACCGTGCATATCTTCTGATGTGTTTATTTTGTTGTAAATTACCCATTTACCTTCTTAAATTGATAATGAATGGACCGTGGCTATTTCAAATGGCAAGATCACCCTGTGAATGTGTGCTTTTTTCATGGCGGTCACCCTGCTTCCATAGGTGTCTAGTCACATTCAGGTTCTGGCACGTAAGAGGGTACGAGAATACCAGACCAGCATCAAGGTGAGTGCCCACTGAATCAACTCTCCCTTCCCTCTGTAGTCACATCCCCTCTTCTTTTTCCTTTCCTTTTTCCTCCCATCCTCTGTCCTTCGTCCTGTCTTTCGTCAGGTCTCTAGTCACCTGCAAGTCTTGGTCAAGAGAAAGTCTCGCGAGATTCAGTCTAAGCTCAAGGTACACATGCTCACTGACTTTATCGTGCTAGCTGCTTCGCTCTGCATGTGACCCAAACCCAACATAAACAGTAAATCGGCACAGAAGCCTTTGTCCGAGCTTATGGCAGATGTATGCTTCTCTGCTGAGGTCCTACTTTACTGTACGAGGGAAGGAAAGTTTAAATGATAAAGCATGACAAGGCATTTAGTGTAGTGGTGATATCGGGGTTCTTATAGAAGTATCTAAGGTAGGACCACTGGAACAAGTTAAGAAGTATAAATCCAGCTTACAAAAAGTTAGGTGCATGATTTGTAACGCCATCATCAGGGCTGTGAGATAGTGTCTGTGGGAACGTGGCGGGCTCAGGCTAACTTGCTAACTTGTTATATTTTCTGTCAGTGTTTGATGTCGTCTGGCGTTGCTCAGTGCGAAAGAGAGATTCGTTGAAGGCATCAGTGTATCCTAATTTGTGGAGAAGAGGTGTTCGTTATAATGCATGCCATTAATGTGGAGCAGTTTACTTATAGTTCAAGAAGCTCGTGGCTATGGACAGATAATTATATTAGAGTCGATAGCCGGCTCGGTTGATCTAAGCATGTGCATGGCTGTAGACATAAAAGCTTACACACACACACACAGACGTACAGGGAGTTTTTAATGTGCGCCTCATCGACGTGCACATATTACAAATTTCCAGATTTCTCTCTCAAATCATTTCTGATCTCCACGTTGTCACTCTCAGACATTTTCCCCCGTCTTTATATCCTTTCCGTTTACGCGGTTGTCTTGTGGTTTTACCATTCACTGTAATAAACTCTGTGACATCATTTTGCACCAAATGCATTTATCCTGCTGCACTCCTAACACACATTTGGAGAACGTGTTCAGATTTCCACGCCGGTATATTTCCTGGCATAAACGTGCGGCACAGATGAATAGTATGTAGCTCGTCCTGTCGATGTAGGATACATGTACTGTGAGCATGCTTGACAAGGTAGGTCAGCGGTGTAGTCATTTCAAAGAGCTGTGTGTACTGAGGAAGGGGTTTCCCCTCTTCACCCAATAGTGATTCTGTGACCTGCTGTTGTTTTGAATGTACTGAAGTTAATTAATGACGTGTCTTCTTTGCCGTAGGCCATGAACTTGGTAAGTTTTGATTATACAACTACAATCTTCTGCTTCAGGCTTTGTGCTTTTTTTTGGTTGGCATCACATAACTGCTAGTCTACAATGCAGTTCTACTGCCAAACCCCCCCCCCCAAAAAAACCCTGCTCATTACTCTCTTGTTTTTAGTGGCTTTAGTTAAATACTGGTGACGGTCCAGTTAGCTCTCCTAGCCTGCTAGCTTGGTGCGCCTCCTGCTTTGGCATCCCCCTGTTATCTGCTTTGCACTCTGTCCTGTCTTCCCTCATAGTTACTGCATCATGCTCAAGTACTCTATAATATGTTGGCTGGCTTTCTGTCTAAACCGGCCTTGAAGGCTTGCTGACTTTGGAACGTCAACCTATATTTTATTGGTTTTTTTTGGCACGTTTTCATCGTGTATTACTTGTTCTTCCTCTTTCAGGACCAGGTATCCAAAGACAAGGCATTGCAGACAGTAGCCAACCTCTCGTCAGCTCAGATTGTGTCTGCTAGCGTAATGAAACCCCAGACTCCGTTCCCACCACCAGTCAGAGTGAGACAAACAAATGCATACATGCAGACACACATATGTTCTTTTCCACCTTCTGGGTGAAACTCTGAGTAACACTATCTGTCCCGTTTCCTGTCTTTCCCGTTGTTCAGTTTTGGCCCGGCCCTATGCCAGGACAGCCTGGACATTCTCAGGAGTAAGTGGCAGATTACTTGCTTTTTAAAAATTGGAGTAAGTCTTGTGCTTCTGCTGGTACAGTTGCTCATTTTTGGGTTTGTACTTTTGCAGCATCAAGCCATTTGCACAGCCACCATACACTACACTACCAGCCCCTGTCCCTACACCTATCAGTAAGTGTGAACACGAACTCACTGATTTGAGTAAATAGCAATGATTATTGGTATGTTAATTGTTCTTTTCTGGTTTCAATGTTTCGCAGGCTATGAGCCCCTGCCTCCCCCACGACCTGCAGCGATAGCAGCTCCCGTATGGCAAGACAGAACCATCGCCTCAGCAAAACTACGGCTCCTGGAGTACTCTGCTTTTATGGAGATCCAGAGAGACAGGGAGACGGTACAGACATCCAGACAACGATCTATGTATATATATTCGCCAAAACTGTGTGTCTTCTCTATTATCACTTCTCCTTTCTTCCCTACAGTATAAACACCTTTTCGTACTCATTGGCCCATCAAACCCCGGCTACAGTGACCCCGTACTGGAGTCCATAGATGTGAGGCAGATTTACGACAAGTTCTCTGAGAAGAAAGGAGGCCTGAAGGAGCTGTATGAAAAAGGGCCACACAACGCCTTCTTCCTCGTCAAGTTCTGGGTCAGTACAGAAAACCAGTTTTCTGCCCGATAAGATCATTTTTAATAACCGAGAACTTTGCAAAGCAGGCTGCAGGACAGAAATTCATTGATTTATAAATGATCACGAGGCGCCAAGTGGTCATTTGGGAATTTGACACTAACAGATGTTTTAGTTTTTTACATGAGATTGTGTAACAGTCATTGCATTAGATAGATGGTGTTATACATTACGCAACTCGGTTTACAATCTCAGGTTATAACCTGCTGCACCACACGGGGGAAGCAAAGCCAATGTGCCGCTGCAGCCGGGTGTTACACAGGAAAGGACTTCTTCGGTGGTAGTTGCTTCGTTCAGCAGTATTTCACTCGGAGGTGCCCTGTAGAGTTTTCTTGTAAACAAAACAAAATATTTGTTTACATTGCGTGTTCCTCACCAGAACACAAATGGTGGATATATTTCCTTCCTGGCCCAGATATCTGCTGCAATAGATTTGTTTTTTGATAATGGCTACTTCTGATTCTCCCTCTCTTTTGACACTCTGTCAATCTGCTTTTGTTCTTGTTCCAGGCCGACCTGAGCAGCGACATCGAGGAGGGCGCCGGTGTGTTCTACGGTGTGAGCAGCCAGTACAGCGGTACAGAAAACATCACCATCAGTGTCTCAACGAAAGTCTGCTCCTTTGGCAAACAGGTGGTCGAGAAGGTTGAGGTGAGAACGCCAACATCTTCTCTCTTTTTTTTTTTTTTAAAGTGCAAATAAAGAATCTCATACCCGCCATAATCATGCGGTTAAATTGTGACGCGTATGTGTGGATTCCTCCCATTCAGACAGAATATGCACACATGGAAGGGGGAAAGTATGTGTTCCGCATCAATCGTTCGCCCATGTGTGAATATATGATCAACTTCATCCACAAGCTCAAACACCTGCCAGAGAAGTACATGATGAACAGTGTGCTGGAGAACTTCACCATCCTACAGGTGTGTGCATCATTACATCCTCCATCTGGAACACTGGCCCGGTGTTTGTGCGTATGTTTTGTCATTGAATCCTGATCTCCCTAACGGTTTCCTCTTTCCCCCTCCTTCTCTTGCCAGGTGGTGTCCAACAGGGAAACTCAGGAGACTCTGCTGTGCATCGCCTTCGTGTTCGAAGTGTCTACCAGTGAACACGGTGCACAGTACCATGTTTATCGGCTAGTTAATGACTAGCAGCACGTGGCGTGCATCCAGAGACTCTCCACGGACTTTTTGATACATACAGCATCAACACTATTTCCAGCTCAAACACAGAGAATCAACACTCCTCTACTCTAAACACACACTAGTTTTAACAGACCAACAGTCACACTGTAGTCACACCTTTTTTTATGTGTATGTGTATCGCAGCAATCTATGCACACGGTTCCTGACATCCCATGACTTAAACACTAAATTTGAAATTTATTTTTATAGATTTTGCCCAAAATCAGTATGTTTTGTAACGTATTCGCCTGAATAATTACATAATCACCCGGTGAAACTGATTTAGCTCACCTCTCAATGCCATTGTGGGTGTAAGAGTTTTCTTTTTAATACGTTTTTTTATTCGCTGACAAGCATATGATGAAAAAGATTCTTCCGTCATATACATTATATACAATGACAATCTAGCTGTGGTGCACTAAAAAAGGATATTCTCTTCTCCGGGGAGTTTTTCGAGCATATGCATTTACATCGTAGGTGTGACTGATGTGAGACAAGTTTGAATATAGGTTGTCGATGAAATCATTTAATCAGTGTTAATGTAACTCTTTCACAATGCCGACGTCTTCTACAGTTTGTACTATCTCTGTACGGTAGGAATAGACTGAGCCGTGTCCTCCATCACTGCTTAGTGTGGAGAATCCTTATACTCCAGTTGGTTTAATCAACACTGTTAGGATCATATTACAGAAATAGTGGGAAAGAGTGTGCCTCTTCCCACAATGCAATTCACTACACGTGAAGACGTAAAAGTCGTATTTATATTTGAAACATATTGTCAGAGTGTAAAGAGGGCCATGCTTTTAGGTGCGTTTGCTGTTCAAAGGTTTCCAGTGGTACAGTGTGTGGAGGGGAAGATCGTTTGTTCCGATGTCAGAGGTGTTTTTCATTTTGACTCACTTGTTTGTTTGTTTTGGAAACAAAATAGTTCCCAGCCAGTTTCAGATTTAAGTTCAGCATTTTGAATGAAATAATGATCTTTTACTGTTCATTTACACAATACTGTTTTAGTCTAACTGCGTTGGATCGCTGCAGTATTTCTACCTCTGCGTGAGTTGGGATAAGAATGTGCTTTGGTTCATTAAGCCTTAACCTGAGGAGCACTGATGTATAGGACGTGTACACTACACTTGTAATGGTACTGTTTATAAGCCAAAACAAGATAAATAGACTTGTTTTTGTAAAGACGAACTATCTTTTTTTCTTTTCTTTTTTTTTGTATTTTACCAGCACAGCTAGAAGTGTTACTCTAAACATCAGAAATGATGGGTGTTTTGGTTGTATCTTTTTTTGGTGTATGCAAAATGATGTATGGTACAGACCACGCTAAGGTTACCCACAGTGCACTGGGGTAGATTTTTGTCTGATAACACTAACAAATTATCCAGCTTACACTTGCTTTTTTTCTGTTTTGGTCTATGTAATGTGTTTTTGTTTCTGGTACACATTGCTACCAGCATTTTTTTATATAGTAAATGTTAATTGACTGCATTACGCCCTCTCCTGGCAGGATTATCTTTTAACTATTATCATGAAAGTAAAAGCCAACTGGTTAAAAAAACAAACATATTCACTGTGTGGTCAGCCAAAACTTTGATCTGTTTATTTTTATCCCATCAGTGTACTCTGGTTGGCTGTGACCCATCCCCCTTTTTTGGTCCAGTCAGCTCACTGAATTATATCTGTGCCTTCATGCTGTACCAATAAAACCACATGGTGTTTGCAGAATCAAGTCTTCATAGTGGCCGCATGAGAGAGGAGATCATCCGTAAAACATCTAAATATCATTTTTAACTTCGTACCCGAGTTAGGTCAAATTACATATTCGTCATGGACTCCAGTATCAAACTGTCAAGTAATAAAAGTTGCCTTTGAATGTTTGTTCATATTCTTAGTAGCAGAGAAAGAAAATAAGACATTTTGAAATAAATCTTAACTTTGATTCAGGCAAAGCTTTTGTAACTGGTTCAGTGCAATTGGTGTATTTATTGAAGGGATTTCTTCAAGGAATGTTTTGTCTCTGTATCAAGACGTAGGTATCGTTAAGGCGCTGCTATCCAGCCCTGGTCCTAGTGGACATTTTGACATGTCCCAGTAGAAAAGGCACAGGTGAATGATTGCTGACATCCATTTAGCTGCATGCGTTTCTTTTTTATTTACCATAAGTCAAAATGTGTGCTGTGAAACTACTACCTATATCTAAGGCATTTGCCCACTTTCGGTCTTCAGAATTGAGACTCGTTATTTTTCTAATGTTTTAGCCGCTTGGACAGTTTGTCACTTTATTCAACTCGGATGAATTACTCTCACTGACGTACACTCAAAAGTATCATGTCAGATGGGTTGCAATTCTCATCTGGCCTGCTAGATGGTGCCGTCACCTCAATTGAAAAGCTGTTCAATGACTTCAGAGTCTGGAATAGTGTATCTGATCTGTAGCACTGGCATACGGAGGCTTTACCATCTCCGTACATAACCAGTGTGTGTGAGTGACAAGTTGGGTGTCTCCCCTTCTCAGGTCAGATAGTAACATAATCTAACTGGCAATATGTTTAGACAACCAAATGCTCATTTTTTTATAATGATTCCTGAATGTTGAAGGAAAAAAAAAAAGGGCACTTGTTGCTAAAAATGATTCATATTAGCTGCTTGGTATTTTGCCAACACGAAAGCTATGCTGTGTGCTTATTTTATACAATATGTGCGCGACTAAAGGGAAAATATACTGATTTGAAAAATCAAGTTACGGGCCTCTACTACTACATACTATATATACGCAACAGAATACTGCTTCTCGGGGGGCAAAGGTTGACATTTATCAACAAAGCCTCTGTAATCTCTTCAATCCAGATCACATTGAATGTGTCTCCTGACATACTCTATGTAATCAGTCACGTACTCTCTATTTATGCTTCCATAGGGGTAACCTATACACTGTCAAGCCATTTGTTAGATCAAACTTTTTCAGAATCTTATTTCTAATAAATTGCATGTTGTATATGTCTTGGCAAACCTCCAAGGCATACGTAACAAAGTGTAAGTGATAAGAGTACTTTCTTCTTTTTTTTTTTTTACAGTCCTAATCTTTATCTAAGCGGTGAAGCTGTGGTGATAAGGTTAACGCTATACGTGCTTGGGATTACAGGTGTTCTCAACACAAGAGAGAACTATGTTTTCTTAACATAAATTAAATTATGGCAAAGCTTTAAAATCACATTTGGCTTCATACAGATGCACTGTGACTGTAAAGCTGTCGATGTGAACCCATGGGCTAGAGCTGTTCACTTCCAGGTTTCCTCACACTCACTCTAGTGTTTCTTTTGCTAGACGTTAGTCAGTGTTATCTGTCTGGAGTAGGGTTGAAACAGTGATGGACACACACACACACACTGTCTTCAGGCTGGGTGTGGTATTTACGACATAAGCCTCCCAACATCGCAGCAGTACAAGAACATAACTAACATTTGACCGGTTGCTCATGGTTTTCTTTCCCCTTAAATCAGTAAAGGATTCAGCCATGAAGGAGCGCTGATAGAGGTTTAGTTTCATGCAGTATCACTTTAAAATGTGATAAATCTGTTTTACAAACTACATGGGATTAGGTCTTTTTTTCCATTCAAACAACCCTGCTTTGTCCTGAGCCTCTAATCTCAGCTGTTTGAAGGCATTTACATTATCAGTGGATCAAACAAGTGTTTGACTCATGTTACTTCCTCTCTCATAAAGACTGGTGGGGATATAGGGTATATATATATATATATATATATATATATATGCACCCATGTTGGCTTACATTGTCATAAACACACATCTCAGGTACATTACACACAAGATATTTAGTACCTTGGCAGCCGTGAGGCGAAGGGTGTGGTGGGAAAATGTCAACTGCAGAAACTGAGCCAAAACAATCCAGTTACACAGAGAGCATGAGACTTGTATCATCTCCTTCCCCCCCCCCCCCTCTCTCTCTCCCTCTCTCCCTCTCTCCTTTATCTCCTTTATCTCGTCCATCCCTTAAATGACTTATGAATACTTAACTGGATAATGATAATGAACCTAGACAAACCGGATGAGGCAGTTTCCATCATGGGAATAACCACATTTAGTTCTACATTTAAGAAACAGGTCATACTTTGTAACCTGAATTTCAAATTGAAATTGTAATTGCCATGGTGCATTTAAAGGTAAAACAACACACAGGGGTGGACACGATAAAAGTAACCACTTCTTACTTTTTAGCTACCGCGTTGAAGCAACAAGTCATCAAAAACATTTTAAATGAGTAAAGTATCATCAGCAAAAAGATTTTTAGCAGACCTATCAAAGGTAAAACCACTCACTATGCAGAACAGCGTGTTTAAAAAGGAGAGTATACCACCCAAATTCATTTATTACAATTTGGTAACACAAATGTGCCCTAAAGAGCTATACTTTATCTATAAGACCTTAAAGTATTTAGTGACTTTTAATTGTAAACTTTATAAAATGTGCCTTATTAGAAGGTGGTACACTTGTATGTGATGTACAGTATATTCTGCAACAATATGTTATATCTTACAATATTATTGTTGGTATGGAACGGTTTGATCAGAAGAATCTGATAAATGTTAAGGAGATAAATGTTCAGAATGTAATGTGTAAATGTAGTGGAGTAGAAGTGGGCCAGAAAGTAACTTAAAACGGACACTCTAGTAACAATGGTGGAGGAAGTCTACACATCCTTTACATACACATAAAAGTAGCAATACTGCAATATAGTAAAAGTCCTGAACCATATTGTATTTTAATGTAAAATCTTAATATGTAAAGTCTTAACCATGACTGTTGTCCATGTAGAGGAATACAAAGCACAATATATCACTTTGAAATGTTGAGTAGAAAGTAGCATAGTACAATACCTCAAATGTGTATAGTACTTTCCGACGCTGGTTATGATTATTGAAAATGTACTAGTTCAGCTTTTGCTATTTCATTCTACTGTACGTTGTCTATTGTCTATATTGAATATCTTTATTGTGTAGTCAGTCGTGACAGGTGAGGCACGGAGAGAGAAAAGACATTCCACTGAAGCTCTAAATGTTCATAGGGAAGTTTTCCATTAATCCCTACTCTCAAACCTAAAAGTATTTATGCTAATCACTTCTTTTCCCCCTCAGTTGTGCACACATTGCGCTCTAATGTGTGCACGCCTCAGCCTCTCCCTTCATTCCGCGCCTCTAGTGAACTTTCTCCGGTCCCGCCCGGTCCCACCTCCACGGGGCGCGGTCCCGAGGGTGGAGTGCGCCGCTGCTGCTCCAGGAACGTTTAGCCTACTGCCTGCTTGACTTTTTTTTTCCTGCTGCTGCACTCCTCGCACCGCTGAGCCCGAGCCGCACGTCTATTTGGAAACTGGTTTTCAACCGAAACTTTCTCGGTAAGGGCACCGTGCTGGGAAGATGATGGCTCTGGATCCGCTGCGTTCCGCTACGAGAATCGGGGGTGCGGACGACACGTCGCTCGCGGTGCCCTCCGACAGCAAGCTGCACGCGGGCCCGCAGCGCGTGCTGGATCAGGTGCACACCATCAAGAGGACCAAGTCCAAACCAGGGAAGAACGGCTCACCGTTGTCCTCACCAACAAGTATGGAAAATGACTTTATACATCATAATCCCAAATAAAAGGATATCTCTTTATTTGGACAGTGCTGTTGACTTCCAGGCTTCCTAATAGGCTATTAGTGCTTTTGCACTTCTTCTCTAATATAAAGTTATAGCTGTTGATTTGCTGGGAATAATACGTCATACCACTTCCCCAAACGTTGCATCCTTCTTTCTTTGTAACCTTGGTTCATACTGGGGATATACACTTCTGCGGTGTCCAGTTAACTAGTACACTGTGAGAGAGAGAGATGTTATGGGAAGAACCGAGTGACTGGTAGGCAGCTGTAATGAAATGTATTTATTTATTTTGTTTTGGGGGCGGTCCTGCCTTTAAGGTGACAGTAGCGTGCCATATCGCCGTTCAGAAATGTGATCCCTTGCTGCTATTTCTATATATAAAGTGATTTTTTTTGCTCGTGTGATTTCTGTGAAACTGTCAGAGACACATCCTACTGAGCATGCCACAGCGGTTTCTCTCCGTCATTTAGGAACGCAGCCCACGGGGTTTACGCACACGCGTTTAGAAAACTAAATGTCCTTCAAAACAACTCTGGTATTTGGCTTTTGCTGCAACAGGCATTATAACGATCCTCCAAAAATTGAGAAATGAAATATTTGAATCTTGTGAAATGATTGCAGGACTTCGTGTTGCGTTGAGATGAAGTGCATGGTTGTTAAATGGAAACACAGGGATATATCAGTAGATTATGTTATCTATAAAGTAGGCCACACTATGTTCATGCTATTCTACTGTTTTATTGAAAGCGCTTGAAGTGACTGTGGAGTTTGTGGTGCGCACGATGAGGACACCTTTGGCCGGTTTAAAGGTGGCCTCCATTTATGATTGTATTTTACAGTGCAGACACAACATGTTTGCCCGTATGAGAGGCTTACAGACAAACCAGGTAACATTTATTGCAGAAGACAAAAAAAAAAAATCTACTTTAAACCTTAAAAGCTGTTCCTGAAGAATGCTTTGTCATTTGCAGTCCACAAAGTGATGAACATCTAAGAGGGGCAGACATCATAAAACCTCAGCACATACAATTGAAACAATCTGCATGGCTAGACAGTTCTAGGCCCTTTAAGGCCTTTTAATTTAGGGATATTGTGCATTAGTCACTTTAGAAACATCTTTCCATTTCAGCACAGACTAAATAATGATGATGTGTGTGCCATTGTTTTGACAACCATAATCCTATAATGGTGAAGTCACAGACTAACATTGTGTCATAGCAGCGAGCCTCACTTTCCTATGAATCACCCGACAAGACAAACAAAGGTGTTAAGACACGTTGGCTATGTGTAAAGGCTGAATTTCCCTAAGCTTACACACAAGGTGCAATGCAAACCCTGAACTGTGACTGACATGATGTCATGTCTGTCTCACTGTTTACTGAAAGGACTGCCAGTTATTCATATAGATTTTTACACCAGTAATATGTGTGTAACACAAAGAGTAAAAGAATTATTTGCCATTCATTACTTAATTATGAACTGAACCACTAAAGAATGATTGATAAAATATGTTACAAGTGAATAATGTTATTTACAACAAAGCTCAAATGATTTAGACAGAAATTTACAAAATATTTAATATTTTAAACTCAATCTGCCAGTACATTAATTCATCTGATTATTAATAAGTTACTGACAAAACAATCATGCACCATTATATGACGGTACATTTTTTGCCAAAACAAAGCCATTATATAAAAAATATACTTAATAACAGAGTTGGAAATCAGAAAATTAAAATGTCTGGAATCTATTATTGCTCAATACATTATTTGAGTATCGTGTTGAAATAAGATTTATATATTTGTGATTTAATTAATTCATAAAGTCTTTAAATCCCATCTTTAATTGTCCAATTGAATATCAATGATTTAAATGCTTTTATACAACAATGGAAGGCTGATCTTTGTCCACCATAAACCTTTGGTGGACAAATTTATTTGACATAAATTATAAAACACTAATGAATAGCAAGTAAAACACACTTTGTGAAACAGAATCCCACGAAAAGATTCACATTTTCAGCGACACTCATGCTGTGTGGCCTACGCGTGTGATGCCCCTTGAAGGGCTTATCACCCTGACAACATGAATCTGTTTAGGTGTGTTTCAGAAGTCTTTCCTATTTGTCATACTGGCCTTGGTAACATCTTGTGGTTAATAGAGTGCCGATCTTCTTCTCTGTATGAATCTGTTGTTCATTTCAGCTCTCGTACTTGTTCTCTTTTAACAGGCCCGTCTGCCCAGACTTTGAAAACATTTGAGTTTGGAGCGTTCAAGTTTTCTCCAACCAAAGCAAATGGCACCTACAGCCGCACCAGCACCAGCGTGTCAACAGGCTACAACAAAGAGGTATGTTGCATGTTGTTTTACAGATAGTCACAGCACATGCGCTTTTTCCTTTCACAGACTCAACATTGAAGGGGCAGTGTGTAGCATTTCGGGGGATCTATTAGCAAAAAATATTCATAACTCTGTTTTCATTAGTGTATGAAACTGAAACCTGCAGCTAAGAATCCCTCATATCTACATCAGGAGCGGCTCTTCTTCACAAGGTCCTCCATGTTGTACCGGCGTGTTTTTACAGTAATCAAGAACGGACAAGCCAAACGCTGGCTCTAGAGAGGGCCTTTCATGTTTTTATGTTACCTGAAGGCCACCGTAGTTCTCCAACACGCTTGAGAAAGGTGAGCCACAAAGTACAAAACCCGGGTACCGCCATCTGACCTGGAGGCTGACCTGGCCTGGAGGCTGACCTGGCCTGGAGGCTCCGGGCTCCCTTATGACCAATAATGTCAGTGGATTGCAGCTGGGTCAGATCGGACTGAGTATGCTCCTGAATGAGTGGAGGGGTATTCTGTTTGTTGCAATCTGCATCCACACCACTAGTCACTAAATCCCACATACTGTCTCTTCCACATCAGTGGCTTTACTATAATTACTATGGTACATAACTGTTGATCAGTTTTTAGGTTTTGAATTCATTTTTGTCAATAAAAAGTTACTTTTGTGTTGTAATGCAAAATAGGCTACTTAAATGAAACTAAGAACTACATTACCACTCGACGATAACTTCAACAATAAAATGATGAATGCTTTTAATTGCATAGAAGTAAAGAACAGTTTCAAGAAATAATCAGTTGTTGATGTTAGATAATTATAAGTAATTATGGAGTCACGGATGGTAACTATAAGCCTATTAAACTGGGAAAACTGAAAATGGGAGGCACCTCTCAGTCACGGGTGATTTGTGACATTATCTTATGAAACATTACACCATACTTGAGCTGGTTGAACGCCTAGTGTAGCCGCTAGCCACATGGTTTTGCTGGTTAGGCGTTCATCTTTTTGTTAGTGAGCGAGTAAGTGTGTGAGTGTCTTATGGACTGTGCTGTACTTTGTATGGTGAATAATTAACAGAACATAGTTTTGCATCTAGCTGGGTGTGTGCGATTTCATTTGGAAATGGATAAATATTCTTAAGTTTTTGTTTTTTTGGCATTCTCAATTTCAGTCTTGTCACTAAGAGTCAGGCTGAGTTCAAATTCCACACAGGAGTAATGTTGACTGTAAATGTGTGTGTGTGTGTGTGTGTGTGTGTGTGTGAATATGCAATTGCTCTGGGTTGGTCTGGCCTGACCTACTGACAGTGAGTTGAGGCATGTCTAGAGAATGTGGTGACTAACAGTCTGTCACGTTGTGTTTTCATTGTGTTACTCTGATAAACTACTAAAGTGTACAAATGATAAGTTTTGGTTTTACGGTTATTTTTTGGGTCGCTTGTTGCATTGACCAATAGCGGATTGTGTTGTGATAGCTGGAGAGGTGCGAGTTCATCTCCTGGCTACTGCTGAGGTGCTCTTGAGCAAGACACCGGACCCCCAAACTGCCCCCCTTGGTGCTAGTAGCTACCCGCAGCCCCGACTGCTAGGATGGGTTAAATGTGCTGTGTCATCAAAAATAAAGTGGAACACTAAATTTAGTGGAAATGCGATTGCTCTCGAAATTAGGTAAAATAACTAGATGGGAATGTCTGCCAGTTAGATACTTGAAAAAATAATTTAACTTGGTGTAAACAATATAGGAAAGTCTTTGATGATTGATAAATTGCTGTCAACTGTCATCTTGTGGTTCATATTGTCATATAGCGCCTAACTCCATCAGAAGCCACTTTCTCAAGTAAACTGAAAGTTTCTCTTTGGTGACGGCGAAACTCTCTTAGTGGCATCAGAAACTCTCCGCATGCTTGGGTTGACTTCAATTCCAGAGAGAGTGTGACAGTTTATCTGACCCATAGGGCATCAGAGCCACATCACTGGAAATGCAAACCAAAAGTCAGAAACACAATTTAAACGGCAAGTGATCCAGATCAGCATGATCTTTGTGTTTCTTGATGTCGACTAAAAAAGCTCCATGCTTGTTGCCTTGATGATGTTTTTCTTTTGTAATTGTGGCTGCTATGTACTGTTAGTGTGTATATATAAACTATAATAGTCTCAATTGTGAATTCTACATTAGTGATTGTCGTAGTGTATTTTACAGCACCAGGTATATCCTGCTCTTTTTTACATTACTTATCTAAATATAACAGCAGTGACAACAAACACAGTCATGTTTTTGGTATTTCTTTTTACATTTTTGTTCCTAAATGAATCGCATCATGCTCTGCTGCTTCTTTTTGCTCTGCTGGATTTACATCCGTCTCTCCTGTCCGTCCTCTGACATAAGGAAGTGGCTCAGTCAGGGCTGTAGCCAATAAAGGATGCATTCTGCACTTTGAGAGTAAACACGCTGTCAGTTCTTATCAGACGTGTTGTTGACAGATCCCTCCTCCATCATGCTTTTGCTGTAGGGCTGGCTGGTAACTGAGCAACCAGTCCGGTTTGAAACAGGAAAGAGTCACACAGAACCTACTGTGTGTGTGTATCTGTGTGCTTGTGTGCGTGCGTGTCCGATGGCAATGTTCTTCTCTGCCAGACTTGTGATTTTACTGTAGTTTTTCAAATAAACCAATAAGAGAACAAGGTTTAGTTGCGAGAGTGACTCATCATTGAAGCGTTAGCTCGACATGTTCTGTCGTTTTGCTCAGGCCCTACGCCAAGTTTCTTTTTTCCTCTCTCTTCTGCGGTGAAGCTTGAAAAGCGTGCTTTGTACACTCAGACAAAGCTAAAGAATCAGAGTCAAATTATATTGATACATAAACACTGTGTAATTACATGAGATTAAGGTGCTTAGTGACGTCAGGATTGTGAAGAACGGTTTAACGGGTGCTGTGTCTGACTTGCACACACAAAGATCCTCTGTGAGAAACTGCTCAACCGTGCCAGCAGTCTTCTAACACAACAGCTTGATTTGGTCTCCAGTGACGGATCTTATGTTGCTTTGGTTTGTGTGACGGTTTGGTGAATTCTGTTGCTTTCAGCATGAACTGAGACAGAGAGAAGTCATGCAGGCTTTGAATCAGATCAAATTCCTCTGTCTTGGTTTACAGGGAACTTCTTTGAAAATTGTTCTCATGGAAAGTGTGTTACCTACTTTCTGTTTTTTTTACTTTCTGGATTTTTGTTACAGAAAAACATTAAGGTGATGCAGTGATTTAGCATTCAGTGGGATTTGTGTTTGTCATTGCCAGCAAAGAGTTTTTTCTACGACTGGCTAGTGTATACTGATTTGTCTTTTTCAATCTAATCCGTCATTATATCCACATTACTGATGATTATTTATCAGACATATCATTGTGTAATTGTTTTGTGAACGCACCAATGGTTAACCCGACCATATTGTTGCAATGTCAATATTGAGGTATTTGGTCATTAACTTTGGGTGTTAACTTTTTTGTCCATTACTGAGCCATTAATTTCTTCTTTTTCGGTAAATACTCAGAAGACTCGCAGTCAATCCACTAAAACCGTGGGAGGAAGACATATCAGCAACTCAGGCACATGGGAACAGCAAATCAACGCTTCCAACTGGTCCCAGGCTCCCAATGGGTTGAAACCCGCTCGCAGTGACCCTGCTTTGGCTCGTTCATTTCCTACTTTACCCGTTATGGTGATCAGTTAATTTTATGTTAAATTATAGTGTCACGTTCATGTTGTTTATAAGGAACCAATTCCTCAAACAAATAACATAAAAGTTCTCCACAGTGCCATACTATATAAACATTGTAAAATGATCTTTTTTTTTTTTTTTTTTTAGAGAGTCAAAGGGCAGGAGAGCCAGGGCAGCGCCCAGACTCGAGGAAATAGACACAGCTCCTACTCTATGACCAACAGCCAGGCACGCATGCAGCCGCCCTCTGGCCAGATTCACGAGGGCAGGATGGGCACCATCAAAACATCCAACATAGGACAGCAATCCTCGTGAGTTCACCTACTGCCCTGGCTTTCATCGACATTTTCGGGCAATATGAAGAGGTTGACATGGGATAAGAGTGACATCTGAATGGGTTACATCTTATAGGCACATGTATAGTACATTTTTCCAGTATTTTACATGTCTTAAGGTGGCACCCAATTTCAACATAAAGTTAATTTCATTGATAATTGCAGCCCAGTTATCTAGACCCTTCAACAAATAAATAAATTGTTTGTCGACTAACACGCATACCTTTTTTTTTAAAAACGAATCAATTGTTTGAATTAATCGACAGATCTGTAAAACTGAGTTTCTCCACAAAGAATCACAGAAAAGCTAGCTTTAAAAATTGTGTTTACCAGAGATGTGTTCTCAAATTTCTTGAAAATAAGCTTAAAAAAAAGCATGAAAAACAACTAATCCACTAAAAAAATCTTAGTCGACTAAAACCAAAACAACCGATTAGTTTACACACTAACTAAGAGGTTATCTTTTGCTGAGGGTTCGTCTGCAGCCTTTTTGTTCTGTGCTTCTACTTGCAGCTGAGCCATGAATTTATCTGGTATTTTGTGGCATTATGTGACTAAAGAACATCTCATTATCTTTTAAATCCATTGAAAACTAACTCCTAGTATCTAATTTCCAACTTTCTTTTCTATTTCTGTGCCTGTTACTGCAGGATGAACACTGGTACGAACATGTCAGACATGACACTGAATCAGGCTGTAGAGTTCCTGTCTCACCCTGAAGAGAATTACCAGCAGTGTGGAGCCACCTTCATCCACCACACCACCTTCAAAGAGGAGGGCACCAAACAGGAGGTCCGAGCACTCGCACTCACACTCAAGTAAACTGTTCAGACACGCACACATGGATGTTGTCTATTTTTACATTACATTTGTGTGACGGCTGTCTTGTAGTTGTGGTGCAAGCACTCTGTGAAGACCTTTGTGTAACCTTCCTTTCCCTCAGGGAAAGGGAGAAGAAAGCATTTATTACGCACTTGGCGGCTAGTTCTGTTTGTAACGTATCGTGTTGGAAATACATTGCCACATTTTCAACAAAGATTCCCTCCACATTACAGGTTTTCCAACTAGGAGGTATCCCCACTCTTGTGAGCCTGCTGCGGAGCCCCAACCATGGGGTGAGCCAGGCCACTGCTGGAGCTCTGAGGAACCTGGTGTTCAAACACCAGGACAACAAGCTGGAGGTTCAGCACTGTGGTGGCATAGCTAAGGCCCTGCAGCTGCTAAAGGAGACAGATTCTACTGAGACCCAGAAACAAATCACTGGTAGGATATTGTTATTGGGACAGGCTCTCAAAATATTGGATAGAAGAGTGGCCTAGTTTACTAAAACAGCATGTCCTATCCCTAAATATAACATAGACTGAGCAACCATTTTGTTCAATTCACTTACAAATTTAAATTTGAAGAGAATTTCATGTTATGCATTTCTTTTACAATCACTATCCGCCCCACTTTTGTGTGAGGTTCTTTGACCATCCATTTCTTCATAAAACATAATATTTTTAAGAACAAATTCAACCTCAAAGGGCAACAACATGACACATGGATGAAATACTTCAATCAGAAATACTCAGGCGGATTTTTTCAATTTCAATGCTTGTACTTTTACTGTTCTTGCCATATGAAGGCCTGCTGTGGAACCTGTCCTCGGCCGATGAGCTGAAGGAGGAACTCATAGCTACAGCTTTGCCTGCCCTGACTGAGAATGTGGTGGTGCCATTCACCTGCTGGTCAGACAGCTGTGCCAACAACAACATACACCCTGATGTCTTCTACAGCGCCACAGGGTGCCTGCGGTGAGAACATTCTATTGATCAGTGCTTCTGATGATGGATGTTTTGGCTATTAGAGTAAAATAAAATGATGACAATTTGGACAGACATGGATGTAAACTGCAACTGTGTTTCGTGTTTCGTTTTGGATTTAAATGAATGATTTCAATGTGTGCAGGAACCTGAGCTGCGCCCAGCAGAAGGAGCGGAAGGCAATGAGGGAGTGCCGTGGCCTCATTGACTCCCTCATGAGTTACGTCCAGTCCTGTGTGGCGGAGGAAACCCCTGATGACAAGGTAAGGTACCTTTACCCATCCACCACTAGTATTTGTTTAAATTCAAAGGCTCTGCACACAGACTACATCAGAGTTGGTCGGTAGACTCATTTTTAACCCAACACCTTTGCCCATTTTGTTGAACTCTGCTGAATTTGGCTGCAGCAGAGAAGAATATTAAGATTTTTCAGTATACTGAAATTATAATTAAATTATTTTATTTTATTTTCTACTCTCTTTATTAAACTCCTCCACTCTGATCTACACCACCACTAACATTACTATTAATAATTGATGCTGTCTATTAAAGCTGAAACAATTTATCAATGAATAGATTAGCTAATTGACGGAAATTTAAACACACTGGCACACTGGCAAATGTACATGGATATGGCAGGTAAGTTAGAGCATAGATCTGCTGTGCTATAAAGTGTAGTAACAGTATAGTTAACCTCTCCTTCCCTCTCCTCTAGTCTGTGGAGAATTGTGCATGCATCCTCCATAACTTGACCTACCAACTGGCGGAAGAGTCCCCTGAATGCTTCAGGAAGTTTCAATCTCAGACAGAGGGCGAACCTGGGGGTAGGAAAAGCCCCACCATCGGATGCTTCAGCCCCAAGAGCAGCAAGGCTCAAAAAGAGGTGGCCATCAACCACCACACCCTCCACCTCATGTTTTTGACTAAATCATGATGTTCCTTGAGTCGAGGCAGCCTTCCCCTTTCTCACTTTTTTCTCTTCCTTTCTCCTCAGTTTCCATTTGACGCGCTTCGGGGAATGCCGGAGGACAGCCCCCCATCAGGTGTGAAGTGGTTGTGCCATCCCACAGCTATGCAAACCTACCTGTCTCTGCTGGGCTCGTCCCAGAAAGGTGCCACCCTGGAAGCCTGCTGTGGTGCCCTGCAGAACCTCACTGCCAACAAGGGAAGGGTGAGTACCAAGAAGATAATTATTAGACTTACCATTTGTGTGTGGTGTCAACGGACATTCAAGATGGGCTTAAGAAATGGGAGAAGCAACAGAGACGGAGATGTGGTGGGAGTAATGACACAGTGGCACAACTCATAATAAGAACTGACTTGTTTTGTCAGAAAGGGTGCAGTTCTGTTCCCAAGGATTCAGAGGTAACTTGAGAAAGAAAGAAGAGGTTAGAACAAGAGAAAGTGAGATGCATACAAAGCTGGATTTAGTGTCACAATGCATTATATTGATACTATTAATATTGACTGCTACAGTGAAGTGGGAGATACAGCTAATGTGTTTTCCTCCTCCTGTATTGTTTTTGCTTCCATTCCAGGGGTCGAGTGCCATGAGTCAGATTCTGGTTCAAAAGCTGGGGGCTCTGATGCACATACCCCGTCTTATCAAGTCTCCTAACCAGAACCTGCAGAAGACTGCCATGTCCCTGCTGGGTAACATGTCTCGGACCAGCAGTCTGCAGACCTCAATGGGTAAGGAAAAGCATGAAATATCGATGCTGACGTTTGTTTCGCATACAGCAGAAACATGAATGTAGAGTTAGTCCACATACAACTGATTAAGTGTATGTTTCCTTTGTCTTCTCTGTAGCAAAGCAGGTCCTGCCTGAGCTCATCGACCTCATCTCCTCTGGCCCCCAACAGATGGGAAACTCGGACGAAACTATAGTGACAGCTTGCAACACAGTAAGGAGTCTAATGTTGGCCGACACTGAGGTCAGCAAGAAGGTCATCAATAAGGACCTGGTGGCATCAGTGGCTGACCTCAGCGAGGACATGTGAGTTTTTATTTATTCATCTCTGTGTTAAAGATTTAAAAAAAAAAAAAAGACTTCAATGCATTTGTTTGTGTTCGAAGCACTTTGAAGTGTGTAGCATTTAGGGGATCTGTTGGCAGAGATATCATATTAATAAGTATCTTCTCTTGAGTGTATAATCACCTCAAAGGTTTTATATCTACATATGGAGTGAGACCTCTTCACAGAGCCCCTTGTTTCTACAGTAACCCAGAACAGACAAACCAAACATTGGCTCTAGAGAGGGCCGTTGACGTTTTTTTGGCCACTGTAGTTCTACTGCATGTTTGGCACAAAGGAGAATTTTCAGTTGGTTGCAATCTGAAACCGCAGGGCTGGATGCCGCCAAATCCTACACACTTGACCTTTTAAAGGGTGGGTTCATCCAAATTCCTCCCTCAAAAAAACAAACAAATGCAAAGGATATATTTCATATTATTTATTTTAAACAGACAGTGGTGCTCGTGTCAAAGGCAGACAACATCCTCTAGCTGGGGCACGGAGTTATCATTTTGCCCACTGGCAACTTTGGTCAACTATTTTCATTATTAAAAAAAGGAACATTTCAAACTATTCTGTACTGCACTGTACAAACACTTTCCCAAAAGGCAACAGGTCGCAATACGCTATAAAACAGAGAAACATGTCTTATGAAATGAAATTACAAATACTAAATGAAAAAAATTAAAAAATAGAAAATAAAACTTGCCCATCAGGAGGAGTGTTTCAATTAAATCCAAATTGGCTCTATGTAAACATTCAATGCACCAAAACATTAATATATTTCTGTATTAGAATATCAACAGACATCTCTTATCAGAGAAAATCTTTCAGTTTCAACTGGAACAAAAAACAAAAACAAAGATCCTGGTGAAAAGAATGTAGCAGCATGTTCTGTGGATATGTAATGTAATGGCTGGCACAGGAGACATTTTCTGGCATTCTTCCTCTCACCAATAAGTGTATGTCAAGCAACCTTTGAATCTACCATCATGCATTTGCTATTGAAGCCTTTTGTCAAAAGGTTATTTTAACACAAAAATTGCCACTCAACTTTTGTCTTCTGCTGTCAAAGTATCGCAAATATCAGTCGTGCAGATGGTATCTTTAGTGCCTAAATTGCCCCTTTTCCTTACAATTGTGTGTGGTTTGCCTTCTTTTTTCTGCTCTTTTTTAATAACCTCTGCACGTCTCTCTGCCCCTTAGTTATTTTCCCAAAGCCAGCAAAGCAGCTTCCCTGCTGCTCTACAGCTTCTGGAACGAGAAGAATTTTCAAGGCGTTGTGAAAAAGGTAAATCAGAAAGATCTGAAATGCTGTGTGACTGACTATGTGTTTGAATCTGTAAGGCAGACACAAGACGAACCTATTGTATCCGTGCATCGGGTTTAAGCTTACCACCTGCACACGAGCAGAAGGAGGGCCCAGCTCAAATGAGTGTGTGTTTATTATTACGCCTCTGGCGCACACACTCACTTTCCCTTCCCTCTTGCCACACCCAGACATTTATTGACTACAGAAACAGTCACAATGAAATCTTGGCGGACTGGTTTTCGATACTCGCTGTCTAATATGGGAGGAGCAAAACATGGAAGATTTGAAGAAGAGTTCAAGACAGTAAGAGTCAGGAAAAAAGTAGAGGATAGTCAGACTACATGAAATATGTTCATGAAGTTTGTATATGAGTATGAGCAAGTGTGCGTACATGTATGATATAAACGGTAGCAACACTTATACAAGAACTAAAAGTGACAGCTGGCAAGAGAGGGAAAACACCCCAGTTTTCACACTACCATGATTGGCCCAAGGGTCCTCTAAGTTGCTGACACAGTACATTTCCTTTTAATTAGAGCAGTGGTGTGTGCGCGTGTGTGTGTGTGTGTGTGCGTGAGTGCTTGCATCTGTGAGACACTTTTAACTGATATTCTTTTTAACATTTTGATCAACAGCTGGGGATGGCAAAATCAGATTTTGTCAACTACAACACCACAGCAGTGCACAAGTCAATGCAAGTTATTGAGTGAGTGTGCTGGACGAGTGGAACGGCACCGCAGAGTCTGAAAGGTACGATTTGTTTCTGGATGCTTGTATCTGGATATATTCAGATTTAAAAGCTCAGTCGCATTCAAAATGAGCAGAATTTGTGTCATGAGGATTCAAACTTTTCCCTTTGTGTTTCTCTTTTCCTGCATGTTCTCGTGTGTGTGTGTGTGCTTTCAGACGGAAACCAGCGTGTTAAGACACTGCTGTGGCCACACCCTTGCAACCAAAAGAGTAAAATTACATTCTTCACATAATGAGTTTGTTGAAAGAGCATGTCAATTAGGAGTGAATCATACATTGTACATACTTCAATGAAAAGAGAGAGCTTTTAATTTCATGAGTAATCCTGCAGCGTTTTATGTATTTCATTTGGATATGTCTCTGTCTGTGTATATAAAGGGGTGAGTGTGTTTTTGTTAGGTGAAGTGTGCATGTGCTGCAGTTTTTTGGCCTGAGAGCTGCAATACACCAGACAATGTTATCAGCAGTGAAAGTTAATGAAGGCATGCAGTGATTATTTAGATTCATGAATGGCATTGTTGTCAAATGTGTCTACAGTGGCTAAAAGATCAAATATCTTTTGTGGCCTTGAAGTCTGAGCAGCCAAAATTAAAGTAATGAGAAAAATATATGAAAAACTAAAACCAGATTTTTTTTTTTTGTATTTTGTTCTATTATCTGTTTCATTCTGTGATTCAGAGTTTAGTTTTATAAAAAAAATTAACAAAACAGCTTTCTACACCAGTGCCAAACTAGTTAAAAGAATAGTTCTGCATTTTCTCTCTGAGAGTTGATGAGAAGATTGATACCACTGTTGTGTCTGTACATTGAATGCGAAGGTGCAACCAGTGGCCAGTTAGCTTAGCTTAGCACAAAGACTTGAAACGGGGAAACAGCCAGCCTGGCTCTGTCCAAATGTAACAAAATCCACCTACCTGCATCTCTAAAGCTCAATACATAACACATAATATCTTCTTTGTTTCATCCCCTATCCCTTACGTGTTACAGTTTGTCGTGTTACAGGGTTTATGGGCCCTGAAAAACCACAGTGTGTCATCACTGCACATTTGTTTTTGAGTGGATTATACAAACAAGATATAAGGTGTTAAGAACTGGAAATATGTTAACTGTGGACAGAGCCGGACTATCTGTTTCACCTGTTTCTAGTCTTCGTGCTAAGCTAAGAACCAGCTGCTGGCGTGAGCTTTATATCTATCAGACAGACATGCCAGTGGCATCAATTCTGTCATCTCTCAACAAGAAAGTGAATAAGCATATTTCCCAAAACATCAAACTATTCCTTCACAGTGCAGTACTAAAAGCCTTGGTCTTTTCTGTTGCTTTGTCATAAGCTTGCCTATTGAAATGTACAAACTGTGTGCTATGTTTGTTTAGTTTTGTTTGCTTTTTCATTATCGTTTGTTTTCTTGCATAAACTGAGGAATTGGAGAAAGAGAAGTATTGGAATATTGTACACAACATGTAACACCAGCTATGCCCATTCACTTTGACTATGTATAGAAATATGGAGTAGTCATCCCCCTGAAAAACATTTTAAAAGTCGAATTATAAATGTATCCACAGTTGACATAGCCTGTTTAGCTGCTGGCCGCACACTGTTAGTCTTTTAAGTGTTCTTTAATGTAATTTCACAGAAGTCACTATGGAGATAATGAAGGGGCTGCACCCTTGAACATAAGTCTAGTGAATTATGATTTGTGTGCACCACCTCAGGCGAGATGAGCTGTACATTCCAATATAAAGTATGTTCAAATGTTTCAGCTTCAGCTAAAACTTTCAAATGTGTTTTTGCTACTTTACCTACACAGTTTTAAAGTCGTATTACAGTGTATCTGCTCTCATAACCAAACTACAGTCTTATTTTTTACTAAAAAACGGTTTTAAATCTTCCTAATACTCCAGTGCATTTTGAAGACAGCATTACAAATCACTAAAGCAAGGACATGAGATGGTTGGCCTCTGTGGGGAATCCCCATGGCTCCAACAATACACTGCAGCGGACTGTTTTTACGGTTGAGACATATACAGTCTTACTGTACACCTATTCCTGCTGAGGCTCATTTGCCTCGGAGGAAGGTTGATGTCAGTATTGCTTCGAATGTATTTTTGGAGAAATGTTTGTGGCATATAATAAGGAGATTTCCCTGTCACTCAGTCTGTACATGGAATAAATAACAGATATGAAGACAGCATTGTAAGTCGTGGTCTTTTCTTCAACAACAAACGTTAAAGTAATTGAAAGTGCTAAAAAAGAAGGTCATGCTATGTGCAAATATGCAGTATGCGAGCCATTTTGGAAAATACTGGATTCTCTGTTTATCGTTAAGCTCCAAGTTTTCATTCCAGATGGGTTTTTGTGGTGTGTGTGTGTGCATGCCGCTCTCTGACTAAGAAAACAACTAAGAAGGCTCAACGAAAAAAGCCTTTCAGCTCCATTTACAAAATTGGGTGTGAGGGTCTGACTGAAGCAGGTTTGGTGAGATTTAAATCTCACAAGTTGATCATGACTGTGCACTGGTTTCACAAAAAGCGCATCCATTGTTCATTTCTGTTTTTTTGTGTTCTACAATACATGATCTAGATTTGGATAGCTTTGCCCCGGCAGCTTTATTCCACCATTGCTTTTCACTGGTGGAAGGTTGACTGAACCAGTGACAAAATGAATACGTTATTGTTTATTTTCTCATACTTTTATCCCTCAAACGACTGAGTGAATAAATGTGAATGGCACTTCTCCTTCCACATAACTGTCCAACATTAACGCTGATGAATCACTTGCAACTTATGTGTCTGTTCCATTAAACTTTCGTCTTTTAAGAAAAGTAGTGAAAGAAAGCAGCAGGTGCAGTTTGCTGACTCACTTGACTCCATGGTCTGCTGCGGGATTGGAAAGAACACAGAAATCCTGAGTGCCTCGTATTTTTACAGAGGTAGCCAATATTTGTGTATTGTTTCATTGATATAAATCAATTTGAACCAGAAATGTTATGAAATGTATATTTCAATTTGAATTATTTTAGGATATAGTAGATTTGCAACTTGTCCCTCTCCTGAGTGGTGGAAAATGATATAGAGCATAATAAGACACAGCAACTCCACCCTTAGACCACAGCAATTTAATTAATTTAATTAATTTCTAAAAATCTGGCCACAAATTCATAAATCAGACTTTCTCTGAATGGTATGCTTGTGGATCTGGTGCCACATCAGATCCACTTTGAAATGCCACATTGAAATGAATTCATTGTCTTCCAAGTTACTGTGAATGTGTCTGTTGGGTGGATGTCTGGGCGTTAACCTGCGGAGCATCATGACAGTCTCAGTCATGTCAGAGCCTGTCTCTGACTAGGAAGATGTCTCTTCCAGTATTTGCTCTAGGCTTTCTGCATTCATGTATTGTTTTACTCTTTGTGGAGTTTCGAGTGCCAGTAAAACACACTGAAAAGTCTGAAAGAGCAAAGAATCATTGATTGAACTAAGAGTGTTTTATTTACACCCTTAAACACAGAGGATCTAATTTAATGATTGGTAATAAAAGGAATACAGCAGAGTGAGATGTAACTGGAAAACTGCCAGGGTGTGGCAGGAAGCCAGGGGCTTGGTTTGAGGCGGTGGCTGCAGGATGGGGCTAATGGTTACACTGCTCACTCTGCACGTCTGCAGTTATTTCCTCAGGCCTCTTTTGGCCCTTTTGGATCTGTTGAAAACAGGAAAGGGACACATGAGGTAAAAGACAACATGTCTGTCCACACAAAACAGGCAATCGGCAGACTAGGAGACATACAGGTGCTCCTTCAGTGTGTCTGTGACAGGCGCTACCACACCCAGCCATGCAGCCAGCTCTCCCAGTTTGAGTGAGTAACAGAGCCTCAGGGGGCATGTGAAGCAAAATGAGAGCTGGGCTGTGACAGGGAGGGGAAGGGGTGGGGTTACATGCTGTTACCGTTGGGTCAAGTTATACATTTGACAACTTAACTGTTGTGTCTGTGACTCTACTACATGTCTATGTCTGAAGTAGTTATATTATTCTTCATCCTTTATTCATATTTTTCCAGTCATATGCAGCCTGACCTTAGGGAACCATCTGTGTTCTTAGAACATGAATTCCAAGACGTATTTACGCATTTTGTGAACTGAGCATGCAAGGTCTCTTAAAACTCTCAATAACATGTCTTTGCATATTTAAACAATAGTATGGCTGGTTATTCACTCCGCCATCGAGTGTCGACGTTTGTAACACCTATGAACACTTTTGAATTTAGTCAAAAGTACAAACTACTCCGGTCATAACTCCAACTTTAAAGGTGCACTTTTACATTTTACAGATAAAGTTTAGTTTATTCGTTATGGTAAATACTACCTCAGGAGGATGTTTGACATTTGACATTTTGACTTCTCAAAGCAGGAAAAGCAAATAATAACCTTAACAATGGTTTCATTCTATTAAGTGCCCCTGTAAACCACACCAGTGAGGGAACATGCACAATACCAGAGCCTTGGAACTGGCTCACCTAAATGGAATGCAGCCATCATTAATGTTATCAATTCCACCTGTGCTTTCCCTGCTCTCACAAGGCAACATGTCTGCAGCCTTTAAGCGAGGCTCTTCAGGTTTTGTTGTTGAACTTAGTCTGTGGGCAGACGCCCATGAGCTTGAAGCATCTGCATAAAAAGCGTGCGTGGCATCAGAGAGAGAAAATATTCGATATAGAGAAGACGTTCTTACGTTTTCTGATGGTCGCTGACTCGGTTCCTCAGCACATTAATCTGGAACAAAGAAAACATGCAAATGTTACTTGAACGAGGTCCATTATATCCTGTGCCTTATTTCAACAATAGTTGTTGTGTACTGTAGCAAACACCTCATATTTCTGTCCGGTGAGCTGGTACTGCAGTTCAAACTTCTCTGCCTCCAGCTCCTGCATCCACTCCCACAGCTCTTTAGCTTTGTCCCTGTGAAACACAGATACAGACATACTGTACAGATGTAATCTCCCTACTTCATCTTTCTTGTAGTAAAATGACACAACATGTCTCCACCTACTTGAGTTTGTCCTGGCTCAAGTTCTCAATGTCCAGAGGTTTGCGTCTATCACTCAGGATTTTCTTTTTCTTCTCTCTCTCAGTTTGCCTCTTACCACTCCGTTTTTCTGTCTGTGGAAAGGTGAAATTAAACATAACTCTGGTCTTCGTCCTTCACATTTGAACTGTTTTAACCTCCCACTATGAACCCTCCACCTGCTCACCAACTTCTGCATGTAACCTCCAAAGTGGAGGCTGGTGAGGGTTTTCTTCTTCTTAGCATCCTCATCTGCTCTCCTCTTGGCCTCCTCCTCCTCCTTGCGAGCTCGCTCATCCTAAAAAAAACATGAATCCAGAGAGAGAGAGAGGACCAGGAGTGACATGTTCGGAGGTAGCTCATTCAGTTGAAGCAGGAAGTATGCATTACATTACAGCAGCCTAAACGTGACTATACCTCAAGACGCTTCTGTCGCTCTTTATCTCTCTCACTTCGGATTCTTTGCTGCTCTGCTCGCTCAGAACGTCGCTTTTCCTGCGCAACAGATCATCATCTTAGCAAATCTTAAATCAGATGTTTAATGTTGTGAATTATCCCGTTTGATTTACTAGTAGTGTGAGGCTCTCACAATCCTGTCCTTGAGATTAACGATATCATCTTCTTCCTTCTTTCTGCTCTCAAAGTGAACCACGATCAAAGTCTGAAGCTCCATCAGGTCTTTCTCCATCCTTTTACGATGTATATCCTACAGAAACAGGGGTTTAGTGCATCTTGTACTTTATGGTATGGGTCTATGTGTCACTGGCTTTACATCATTAAGCAGAAACCTGTAGATGGTATGTACTATAAGTCTGTCACTCACATCAAAATCCACCTTCTCTCCATCTGGGATCTTAGGAGGGATGAGGTTGGGCATGATAAATGGCCTGGGGATTTAAAAAAGAAAGAGGAAAAAAACACAGGACAGTTAATGAACAATAGAGTCTTAAGATAAAGTAAGGAAAAAAAGAGCAGAAAAATACCAAAAGTCACTGTGGATGTCAAATGAGCACAAAATGCAATCAGCATGTTCAACATGCCAAACAAATGTCCCTCTATGTATTCATGCATGTCTTTGCATGTTGCGAATGCTTAGAAGCAGCTTCTTTAAATCAATATTTTGTGTTGTACTCTTTGGTTTTGAATAGTTCATATTTAATTTTATTCCACAGTGTTACATAATGAACTTGAATTAACCATGACAACGTAGACAGCAACATTTGCAAGTCTTACATCTTATATTTCAAGTCGTAAATTATTCATATTCAGCACAAGATTTAAGTTATTTTTGAACTCTACTATGGTCAGAATCGATGGGACCCTCTGAGCCGTATTACTGTCATAAATATTTATAGTAAAACGTCACAAAAAATATTATAGATGTATTTTATCACTCCTAGCTGTTATTCTTTGTCTTACCTCTATTTGATATTCAATTGTAAAGTACCTTAATAGCCTTTAGTCATTTGGCTGTGACACGTGTTGCATCTCGTTTGTTTAATCCATACAAAAGCTAATGTGTAAAAACAATCATTTATGGTCATTGTTTTTGTCCACAGGCAGTGTCTTTGTACGGTTTAAACAAACATTATTTTAAGTGAGGTTTAGAGGTGCTTGAAGGACCTTGTTATTGTTGGATCAGCTGTGGACAAAGCCAGGCTAGCTCTTTCCCCCTGTTTCCAGGCTTTGTGCTAAGCTAAGCTAACCGGCTGCTGGCAGTGTGATAGATGACCATACAAATATGATTTCCGAAAATGTCCAGATTTAATTCAATGGCGTTGCGCATTATAGGAAGTAGTCCAATAATAAATATTTGGTTTCTATAACAGTGCTGTAGAAGAAGAAGTGTGTGTGTGTGTGTGTGTGTGTGCGCGTGTGTGTGTGCGTGTATCAGTGAGTGTTACTCACTTGAATTTCGGTTTGGCCTCCTCCTCTGTTTAGAAAAACAAATAGAAGATTATATTTGAAAGACAATGAGCTAGTCCAGACCACACATACTCATTAAGATCACATTAAAACACATCATAATCCTACCATGAAACAGCAGCAAGTTATGACAATGGAGCCTGTGTATGTGCTTGAAACAGTTGGAGGGGGGGATTAGTTCATCTGAGGCAAACTCTGTTATGACTCAGGTTAATGTTGATTACATCCAAGAAAAACAGCTCTGCAGTGAGTAAGGCGTGCCAACATTGATTGTGATGTAATTTTAATTAACCGTGTTACCTTCTCCGTCCTCCGCTTCCTCTTCTCCATCTGCAACCAAAGTAAGATACTTGAGAGGGTTGTGTAAGTTTACGAGTGGGGGACACTAAACGGTTGTATTTTAGGAGCGCTGACAGACACAATTATGTGTCAGAGTACATGAAAAGAAGAGAGACGCCAAAATAGAGCGCTGAGAAAGTCAACTACTGTTTGCTTATCTGTGTTGGTGGGTGTGTCTGAAGTGAAGTGTTGTATGTGTCAAATAATTAGCATTCTGTCAGAGAGGTTGTCTAGATAATAGCTCACTCACCAAAGATGGTATGGCGTCTGTGACCTCAGAATGACACCCAAAAATGTGATAGTTTTTTTTAGGATTTGCATAAACCAAAATACTTGACAAATAAAACAATTTGAGCTGATGGCTCTAAATAAAAAGTCAGGGTATCAGCAAAGTCAGTAGGATTCACCATCTGGACCCCATGAATGACGGCAAAGAATTACATGACAATCCATCCGATGATTGTTGAGATATTTCAGCCTGGACTTAAGTGGAGGACTGACAACACCAGCCCTAGCATGGCTAATACAAACTGCTCAGTGTGTAACACATCAGGTGCCTCACAGGGCGTTTGCTGATTTGAAAGCATAGATGACTTGGAATCTGACTAACATTTCGCATGAGAGAAACGCCTAAACGGCTAAATAGAAAATACCAAATTCGGACTACTAAGCAAAAGCCTTAGGGATGGGAGGCCTGGGGATTACTTTTTTTCCCAGTGGCTATGTGTGGTGTGACTAAGAGTGAGAAAGACAGACGGAGACACAGGAGGAAAACATGAAGACTTTTTCAAGTTGCTGCAGACTGACACATACCACACCACAGCTAGGGGATACTTTTCATATCTGTCTCTGACTTGATAGTGACAGATATAATATATTGTCCATAATTGCTGTGTTGTAAAAACATACCCAACAATAGATGTTGTCTTGCTGGGTAACCACAGAGACAGTGACAACACCGCCGACATGTCTGTACAGCAATGTTTCCCCCCTCAACCCCTCACCTCGTTCTTCGTTAGCCTCCTCTTCTGCAGCATCTTCGTCCATTTCCTGCACGGCCTCTGTCAGAGGAGACAGTTGAACAGCAAATAGTTGCATGTCAATGAGACCTCTTGACACTTCCAGGGTGTGGTATTGACTCATTGCCTTATTGAGCCATCACTCTCCCTTGTCAGTGGCATTTTCATGAAGCCACGGTGAAAGGAATTAAATGAGACAACTGCTGCTAAACCTTAATTAAATGACCCTTTCTCTCGTCTCCCTCATTCCTGCTAATGCAGGAGCTTGTTTGCATTATTTGGAGATGTGTCCACATTAGTTTGGTTATTGGATTGACCCGGTGTTCCAGAGTAGAAAGCCTTGCAAGATAACAAGGGATCATTTTAGAATGAGCTACCCACCTCTGGTATTTAGAGCAGACAGCACTCAAGAGCTGTTGAAGTGGTGTGTGTGTGTGTGTGTGTGTGTGTGTGTGTGTGTGTGTGTGTGTG